ATTCATTCTTTCTACCGCAGCAGCTAAATGCCTCTTTGCCCTCTTTGGTCGTTGCAGCCTCAAGTCTTTCAGACCGTCACCAACATCCCTAGCAGCACTTTGGTCGATAGCTAACCAATCCAGCATTGAAAGACCAGCATCTAAACTCCTCAAAGTGTCCCAAACATTCAAGGTATTAGTCTTGACGGGTAACCTACGAGGCTTTGACCGCTTTTTCCTAGACTTGACCACAGGACCAGCAACACCAACAACCGGAGGAAAAACATTTTCACCCCTAACAGGAGCAGCAATACCATCAACCGCAGGAACAAAAGCACCATTACCAACTGGAACCGGCATAGTCATGACTACATCACCTTGATCCACCGCTTTTCCCTTATTACCCCGCTTATTCGGCGTATCAACTGGCACAGCAGACACAGGTCTCTTCACACCGTAAATCTCGTTAACACTGTTGTCATTCAGGGTATCAACCAAGTTCACCGACTTGTCATTTTTCTTTAGAGGATTTTCACCATTACTACGAGTACCAATCACCTCCTTTAAGATCGGTACTCCTTCTCTTTTCCCTGGCTTTCACCAGAAAAGTTTGAAGACCCATTACCAATGGGTATAGCATTACTACCACTTGCAACCCCAGACCCAAAATTGTTCTTTTGCAAGAACTCCGGACACTCAGGCTTCTTATGTCCTTCTTTATTGCAGTAAAAGCAGACCAAATTACGACGAACAGAAGCGACACCACCAGTATTACCACGAGTACCATTTTGAGCCACACTGTTAGTTAAGTTTACCAAATTAATGCTCAACCTTTCTAACTTGTCCACCAAAGAGAACATACTGGACATAGAAGCAGCATCCGATACAGAACCACTTGCAACCGAAGGAGCAGACACAGGAAACTTAGGGACTACAGTCTCAACGGGCTCAAAACCAATAGTACTTGCGTACTTGACCAAACTACGCTCAATCTGCATAGCCTTTACTTTCGCCTCTTCAAAAGTCACCGGTGCACCTTCTTTTTCCACCTCAAAAGCAATGTTGGGTTTGATAGCGTTAAGAAACGTACGCACTTGCAAACTCTGCGATTTGTTGTCTAAAAGCATGAACAACTCTTGCATCTTGAGTGCAACATCATCCACTGAGGGGTATTCAGCACCTTGTCTAAGACCTTGTACTTGACTCCAAAACTTATCCTCTTGATCATATAAATATTGCTTCTTAAAAGCGCTCACGAAGGCATCCCAGGTAACTGTATTTGCACCAACCACGTTGAACCAAGTCTCTGCTTTACCAACAAGCTTGTCACTAGCGACGAACAACATTTCTTCATCACTCAAACCTCCTGAGACCTTCAACCTTTGCATACGATTGACCCAAACCAAAGCAGAATTACCATCACCTTCACCAGAGAACTCTCTAGGCTCATTCATGAACCTCATACCAGCACCACGTTTAGTACTTGAGTTTGCTTCTTTAATAGACATAATATAACTTGAGTAATAATACATGTTAGAACACATATATGATCTGGTAGGCCGGACCACTTGACAACTCCCTCTTTTTCCCTTTGTGTTTACCTTGAACGACGAGACCAACAAATAAAAGAGATAAACCAATAATTAACAACAGAAGACTGTAAAGACTATTGTAATTATAGAGAGATAGACACAAATAGAGAGATTATAACCTTAGGCACAGTTCCTTCAAAAGACAATGAAGATATATGTAAAATAAAATTTATAAAAAAAATTCGATTTTTAAGATTAATTTCTTGATATTTTTTATTCCTTCTAAAGTTCTTTAAGCTTTTATACTTTCTTTAGAATAAATTTCTACAAAGACAATTGCTTGTCATTAATCTAGAACAGATCAAACTTGCCCAAAAAGCAATTACGTTTGAAATGTCAAACAGGAGAACAATTAATACAATTAAATTATAAAATTCAACAGATTCAAACTGAGATGAACTGTCAAATACAATAAACAAAATAAAACAAAATAAAATACACAATTAAATCACAGCAAAATATCATGAAACAAAATACGGAAGAAGTAGGACAAATAAGGAACCAAAAAAAAGTACAACAATTGAGACCCAGACCCAACAATTGACACACCGATCAGTAGTTTTGACTCGAATCTGATTGGGTCTGACAGAAGACAGAACCATTGGCTGAAATCTTTGGAACACCATTGTACCATCAGACCTAGACCAAATCACACCAAACTTTGTATGTACTTTAAGGAACATCAGAGACATGCACCATTCCAATTTGAAGATTTGTTAACATAATAGAATCACCAGAAAAACCGCGAAAGAGAACGAAGAAGCGAACCAAAACAAACATGCACACATGACAAAATAATATGGAGAGATGGCCGAGTTGGTCTAAGGCGTCACGTTAAGGTCGTGATCTCTTCGGAGGCGTGGGTTCAAATCCCACTCTCTTCATTACCTCTTTTGTTTGAAACTTAGGAATTTCTTTTTTAATGTATTGTATCTTTCTTCATATTGTTGCAAGGTATTAGACTTGTTTTGCTTGCATCTGGCAAAGTGAATAATTTAGAAGATGATGTGAGCTTAAAGCGTTAGTTAAATATTAGTTGCAAGTAATAGCCAGAAACATTCCATGAAACACAAGAGTAGATCAACATAAAATCCATTCTATGCACTTGATAAGCTTAGTTTACTTTTGCATCTCAACAGCAGGTGTCACTTGTACTATGCCATTCAGCCCTGTACCTATAGCCATTGCTAGCCTGGCATAAAAGAGAAACGATTTGAAAATATTGTGTCCATACACATAGATTCAACATATCTACTCTTCTTATCCGTTAAAGTAGGCCAAAGTCTTGTAGAGCATCTGAAATAGTAATGGTTTTAAACAAGCATAACAGCAAACAGAAGTCAGAACGAAGGAACAACATTCTGAGAGTTCAAAGGTTATTTTCCATATCACAAAGCTTGATAATCTCGCATGATTCATTGAATGAAAACGATTCATCCTTTTTTTATTTTTGGATAAAAAAAGTTTGTTGTATTATCTTCTTCTATGGCGATGATCTCTATCTCTGTCTCTTCTTCTATCGTCTACTCGTCGATCATCTACTCTTCTATCATCTGCTCTTCTGTCATCAGCACGTCTACTGTCTCGAATTCTATCATCTCTTCTTCCATCATCAATTCGTGACCTTGAAGTTGTGATAACAGGTGCAGGGTCTCTTACATTACGATTCTCATCACGCAAATCTCGTCGTTTCTCAGGTCTTTCTTCACGAACACGATCTCTGCTGTCTGAATCAATGGGACGTTTTGCACTAGGTGCAGTCGTAGCAGCGGCTGCAGAAGAAGAAGATACAACTCGAGTGCTGCTCTCGTTATTTCTTACTGAACGACTGGATCGATCATCATTGCTACGAGAAGTAGGTGATATAGCTTCACGACTAGGTCGAGTAGGATCTCGACTACTTCGAGGTGGCAATTCATTACGAACTGGGGTACTGATTCGACTACTGCTTGTGCTCTCACGAGGTGACTCTCTTCTTGAACTTGAACGATGGTGGCGGCTACTAGATTCTTCCATACGCAATGCCTTTTCGGTTCGGTTTATAGGGGGTTCTGGATCGCGTGCACGTTTTCTGTCTGAAGGTGGTGATTTTGGTGGTGAAGGTTGTCTTTGTGTGCTTTTTGAGCGAGTCGTGTCTTCATTACGTCTACTACTGCTACTATTTAGATTAGCAGGTTGTAAAGATTTTGTTTCAGGATTATCATCTCGTCTTCTGCTACTGCTGTTGTCATTATCAGATGTTGAAGATGGTTTCTCCTTGTCTTTGTTGGTGGATGAAGAAGGCACATCTTTAGTGCCACTGCTGTTACTAGGAGGAGCTATCTTGATTTCAACAGGAGGAGAAGGTTGCTTGATACCCAAAAAGGCTTCTTTTGTTATCCATTTAGTCTTGTATTTAGCAATTAAGCCCATGTAACTTCTTGCCAACACCTTAATGTTACCACGTTCATCTTTTTCTGTCAACTTTTTAACAATCTGTAAAATACTGTTGCCATGATCTGCTACAGCAGGAAAACAAGGAGCAAATTGACGCAATACCATAAATGCGTTCTTCATGACTACAACTTCACCTGATTTAAGTGCTTGTTCAATCACCAAGTCGGACTTGAAATGCCATTTATGCAAAACACGCTGGAAATCTGTAAAGCTTAACAAATCTTCTTTGGCAATAGGTGTAGGTGTGGAATTCCAGTTCTTTTGAAAGCCAATCAAGTTATCACCGTGTGCTTCTTTGACAAACAGTTTTTCATCTGCATGCCATTTCTGCATTTTTGAAAGTGCCTTGAAAATAAATCGAGAGTAAACGGTTGTTTCATATTCTGAAAAGGCCAAAAAGCTTGCTGGCAAGTTGTCCGAAAGCATCTTGTCAAACAAGGTTAAGCTTGAAAAGTTGGGTGTGTTGATACGATGCATCAACATGCTGAATTCATAACAAAATGCAGCATCTACTTCAGATTGTCGACTACGAGGCAACAAACAGTATTGCATAACACTTGAAATCTGCGCTTGACGTTGATTTAAGCTGGGGAACCAACGGTTCTTTGATTCTTTCAAGACAGCCATGATTTTTTCTACATGAGCCTTGTGTTTCGTCAGATCTTCTTTTAATTGATCCAAACGGGACTGTGCTTGACGTTGTGCTTTTAAAACCACAGAAGGACGATTGTTCAAGTAAAATTGACTACGTGTATCTTGACATTTACGAATGACTTCGGCTTCACGCTTGATGGCTGCTTCATAAGGTTCTTCAGGACAATAGATATCATACAGTGTCAATTGCCAAAAGATCACAAAGAATTCAGAAGAAAAGATAGTGTTGAGAGGAGGATCAGGTAAACAACCAGAGACACTCTCGCTAAGAGCTTTGAATGGGGCCCAGATTTCACCTTCTACAATAGGTTCATTGATATTGTTCTTAATGGCGAATTGTGTCCTGGGTCGAGTAAAGTTCATGGTGATGTCAAGAGGCAAACGATAATCATTCACAAGCACAGTTGCATCTGGCACAAGTGCATCGTACTCTTCACCTTCAAACAAAGACGTAATAAGCTCAAAGTATTGAATTTGACTTTGATGCACATGATCCAACTTATGGCATCGTACAGCAGCAGGCACACCAGCTTCAGAAGAACATACTTCATCCAGTCGATACAACAACACAAGGATTTCAAAGCCAATATTGTTCTTCCGTAAAGATTCCTTCAATCTGCTCAACACACGGCGAGAAGCACGACGGTTGTCTGGAGATACAGGTAAAAAGGCTTCACTCTTAATTGTTTCTGAACAGCTTGCAGCAGCAATTTGATCATCTGTCAAAGCACTAGCCAAAATTTCAACGCCACCCATCTTGGTGACAAATTCGTTCAAAAGATGCAAATCAGGCACAGCATCGTCATAACGCAAACGACACGCCAAGTATCTGAGTAAAGGTGTCGCTTCCATATCCTGTTTCTTGAACAACATGCCTGTAAAGATAGCAAGTGAACGGAACCATAGATGAGCAAAACCATCATCTTTTTCTTTGGACTTGAGTGTTCTTCCAGGTCCTTGAGATCCAGTCCATTTTTCGGTCAAGACAAAGCCAAGAACATCGTATGCAAAGTCACCATAGTAACGGCATGCTTCAGCCATCAAGGGCGCTAAATTCTCAAACTGTTGTACTTGGTCCAACATATGATGAAAGACTAAAGTAGGATTTGAGTGGGCCAGTTTGCCCAAGTCTCGGCCACTCGGACGCACATTGTTCTTGTTGACACAACGCATCACTTCTCGAATAGAACGTTCGGTACGCACCTTGAGTAATTTGGTCTCAATCGTCTTTTTGTAGAAATCAGCATGCCATTCACCGTAAAGTGCATATCGTTCTTGGAAAGTAAATCGACAAAGGATTTCCCAGACACTGGCCATGGTGCCAGGATTGCCTTGACTAAAAGCAATCGAAGGCAACAAGAATTCACGCAAGATGTTAATACAATGAACTCTGCTACCGGGAAATTCAGCTTCACGTTCCACTAGACCACCAATGATCAAAATCACTTTCTGAACTAGGTCTGTACCCAAATACGTCTTGTAGCCAGCCAAACGAGCCAAAGGAAGGAAGCGCTGCATCAAATGTTCAGATGTGGTACAGAGGTCCAAGTTATCCTTGGTATTCTTGTAGAAGAATACATAGCGTTCTCGCTTGACAATGTCCTTTGCATCGTCCAATAAGGCATCAAATACCAGTACACGCTTCAGCTTGATTTGGTCAGGAATCTTGGGGTTAGGATCATCTTGCGTAGATAAGGCAGTCTTGATCTGTGACTGGTCAGCACATGCATTGAAGTGAGCATAGAGTTGTTTGGTTTCTTCAGGCACAAAGGTATCATAAGCAGGCTCAAGTACAATAGAGCACAAACGGTAGATATCATAAGCGAGTTCTGGATACAGATCAACAAGCTTTTCATATTCTGCCAAGATCATTTGAGCATGCTTCAAATCCCCAATGGACAATAAAGCACGGACAAGTTCAACCACATCATTTTGTTCGTATTTCTTTTTTGTTATTACTTCCTCTTCTGCTAGTGTTTCGTCTTCTTGTTTTGCTTTCTTGACTCTGACAGTAGAGCCTTCTGTTTCACCTAAAGCACCATACATCTGCAGAAGACAATGAGTAAACAAATCTCGTCAAACGCATAGACACTTACAGCTAATTGACCACCTGAATTTGTAGTGATTTCCTTATTCATCTTTTCCATGTATTCCTTTTTTTCATCTGATAAACCCTCATCATAAGGGTAAAGATAAGGCAGAATATCACCCAACAGAATAAGCTCGTTCTTTAACAAGATAGCAATAGCAAAGTAGATGTCCTTTGGTGTGGGTTCAACATCTTCATTCTAGCAATGGGCAATTAGATCAGAACTAAACAAGGAATGCTTCTTACATGATAGCTATGGAATCTGAAGCCAAACAATTGAGCCATGATGGGACTGGGATTATTCACGACTTCACCGTTCAGGTCAGTATGGACTAGACTTTTGACCCATTCTGATTCTTTGATGAGTGCAATCCAAAACTTGTGATTGACACGCAATTGACGAATAAACAAGTCCAAAATGATGTCGAGCACACGATTAGGATCCAGATGAAATACACCCATATGAGAAGTGATTGTCTTGAGAAACTGAGGAATACGTTCCATGGGTGTAGATTCAAGTTTGCCTTTACTGTCTCGTTCATTGTCAATACTGGCATTTGTGAGTTCGTTGAAAAGACTGGCATAGCCTTCACCCACTTCTCTGACAAGATTATACTTGTCTTGTTTATAGAGCATGGCTGTATTTAAACGTACAAGGCGACGCTCAAAGATCTTGACATTATTGATTATACCACAATCAAACAATAACTGAACTGTCAAATTGACTTTACAATCGCCTACTGTAATAGTGTTTGATTCCTATTAGTTCTGTGTGAGTAGAACGATATCCAAGTGCTGTTATTTACCAATAGTTGATTGACCATGCCAGTCAGATTGTCTGTCAATTTCTTGTATTTAGCGGCCTTTTCAGTTGATTTGTTTTGATGTTCGCGTAATACTTCCCATTGTGACTCCCATGTCTTGATGGAGTTAAAGTAGAGGTCTTTGACGGGTATTTCAAACTGTTTGAAATAGTCTTCTTCTTGCTGTATAGCCTTAGATGCAACTTCAATAAAGTTAGATACAGATCGACGTCCAAAATAAGTGTCTCTGCATGCGTTGCTGATGATTGTACGAAATTCACAAGTAGCACCTACACGATATTCAGATGCTACTGCTTTCATTCGATCCAACTCTTCTTGGACAACAACATTGTGCGTGTATTCATCTGTTGTAGACATACTAACAAGAGAAACACGTCTTAAAAAAGAAAAAGAGAAAAATTTATATGTGTGTGCGTAAATAAAGGTTCGGATGCTTAATTTATATCCAAGGTCATAAACTGCGCCTATTAGCCCTTTTCTCTCTTTTTACATATGCTGATATGGATAGACATGATAGTAAATAAATACTGAAATATAACTATCAGCCTTTTAGCCCATTGATACCACCCAACCTTTCTTTTATCAGATCTACCATAAATCCAAAGGATATTGTTGACTTGGATTTCTCTCAAGTCTGTATGGGCTTTGTCTCTTAATCATAATAGGATCCATAGGAAACATTGAGAAAAAAATACAGACACCTTTCCATGAACCATGGAGATACTTTTTTTGACGTGTCAAGTGGTAAAAATCTTGCTTGTTCTATTCATAAAATAAATCTGATTGAGGAAGAGGAAGAGTTTGGCATTGTATTATTGCCTTCCTCGACTATAACCAGATTTTCTTGACATTCAACTGAATGATATTTTATTGGAGAACAACAAGGCTATCAAAGACACTTGTCATCTTACTTAACCTTCTTTGTATTTTTTAAATCAATATGTCAAGCTATTGGAGGATAGTCAAGTTTCTAGTTTTAAACCACACCAAAAACAAAAAAAAAAAAAAAAGAATTCGAACCAACTTGGATTCAGGTACAATTGATGTCTATATGAACTAGTTTCTGAAACACAATGATGCATTACCTACTCTCCAAACAAACCTTATGCCTATACAAGTGAGTATTTGGTTCCAAAATGCAAAGAAACGTTATCAAGATAAAGTAAAGCAATTCAAATCGTTGTCCAAGAAACGTCCTGATTTGGTCTATGATTAATGCATGTAGTACCTATTATTACCAAGCTAAGAAAAACAGTCTTTGAAACTATAGAATACTTACAAATAATATACAATGTATTTAAGTCTATTACTGATACTTTTTTTTTTGGGGGGCTTAAAACATCTGACATGTTGAAAATGGCTATTATTGACAATTTGGCAAAGGGTATTCTACTCGAAAACCAGAATTAAGACACCGATATTTGAACTTTGATTGCGTTATATGAAATGATGAACAAACATAGAAGCCTACTCAAATATTGAGATAAAGCGCAAAAATCCAAGGTTGATAACGATACTAGATTCATATAGAATCTTCTATAGAAACAGTATGCTAAGGCTAAAAAGCTGCAAAAGTGCTTTTTATGCTTTTTCTTGATAACTTGCTAGTCAAAATGGTACGTTTCTTACATCGTTCAACTTGAAATACAAAGACCTACAACTTTTATTAAGATAGTTTTAAGTAATAACCTTGTTTTTATGCATTTTTGAAACCTCAAGTATATTTATCATCTTCAAACTCAGCATATAAACTTCCTTGTGACTGTATCCACACTACAAAAACGCCTTTTTTTTTTCTGTTTCTCTGTTTCTCTCTCTCTGTCTTTCTTTCGACCTTTATTTATATATATATATATATATATACACATACAAAAAAAAAAGAGCATGAGTAGTGAAGTAGAGACAACGAGAGGACGCGTCGATGCGCTTAAACTTTCCACCACCACTCGAGCAGGTGGTGCCTATATTCCACCTCATCGGTTACGTCAAATGCAACAAAACATCACAGACTCCAGTACAGAAGAATATCAACGTATCACTTGGGAAGCACTCAAAAAGTCTATCAACGGTCTCATCAACAAAGTGAATACGTCCAACATCAAGATGATTATACCTGAACTGTTTGGTGAAAATCTCGTACGTGGTCGAGGTTTGTTTTGCCGCAGTATGATGAAGGCACAACAAGCAAGTTTGCCTTTCACGCCTGTGTATGCAGCAGTAACTGCTGTCGTAAACACAAAGTTACCTGCTGTAGGTGCATTGCTATTGTCTCGACTTGTGCTTCAGTTCAGAAGAGCCTATCGACGTAATGACAAGGTAAGCGTGTATTGAGTATGACTCCATCTGACATCATTTAGACAATGTGTTTATCTACCACCATGTTTATTGCTCATTTGACCAATCAGTTGATTGCAGACAAGGTACTTGCCCTTCAAATTCTGGCCTTGTTGTTGGAACGACCTACCGATGATTCAGTCGAAATTGCTGTAGGCTTCATGCGTGAAGTAGGCGCACTTTTATCTCAAATTTGCCCTAAAGCCAACAATGCCATCTATGAACGATTCAGAGCTGTCTTGCATGAAGGCGAAATTGACAAGCGTGTTCAATACATGATTGAAGTCTTGTTTCAAGTCAGAAAAGACAAATATAAAGACAATCAACCTGTCATTCAAGAACTTGATTTGGTAGAAGAAGAAGATCAGATTACACATAACATCAGTTTGGATGATGATGATTTGGATGCTGAAGAAATGGCTAATATCTTTAAATATGATCCCAACTATGATGAAAATGAACAGAAATACAATGCTATTAAAGCAGAAATCTTGGGTGAAGGCTCTGACGAAGAAAGTGAAAGCGGCGATGAAAGTGGCAGTGAAGAGGAAAGTGAAGAGGAAGGCGAAGACGAAGAAGAACAGAGACTTGAATTGCTAGACAAGACAAATGCTGATGTGATTGAATTGCGTCGAAAGATCTACTTGACTGTGATGTCCAGTGTCAATTTTGAAGAAGCTTGTCATAAATTAATGCGAATCAATATCCCTGAAGGACATGAAGTAAGTCTCTCGAATTGAAGGATATCACTAATATTACCCTAGATTGAACTCTGTAATATGATTATCGAATGTTGTTCTCAAGAACGTACTTACCTTAAATACTATGGTTTAATGGCTGAACGCTTCTGTAAATCAGACCGTATGTGGGTAGATAATTTCACTGGTTGCTTTAGAGAAGTCTTTGAGACTATCCATCGTTATGAAACAAACCGTCTTCGTAATATTGCCAAATTGTTTGCCCATCTCTTCAATACAGACTCACTTCCTTGGACTACTTTTGAAATCATCATCTTGACTGAAGAGAACACAACATCTGCTTCCCGTATCTTTATCAAGATCTTGTTTCAAGAAATCAATGAATTCTTGGGTCTCAAGACACTCAAGGAACGCTTGGCTGATCCTTACATGTCTGAAAGCCTAGCTGGTATGTTTCCTAAAGACAATCCTCGAAACACTCGTTTTGCTATCAATTATTGGACTAGTATTGGTCTTGGTGCTGTTACTGAAGATTTGCGTGAATGGTTAAGAACGGCTCCTCAACAGTCGATAAGACGGGATGATAGTAGCAGTGATTCATCTGATAGTAGTTCTTCAGATAGTGATAGTTCATCAGTAAGCAGCCATAGTAGTAGAAGTAGTAGTAGAAGCAGCAGTAGCAGCAGCACGAGTCGTAGTCGTAGTCGCTCCAGTAGCTATAGTCGATCTGATTCTGCCTCTAGCCGTAGTCGTAGCCCTGTCCGTAGAAGACGTGATCGTTCACCTCTTCGTAGTCGTTCTCGCACTCCTATTCGTCGTCGTGATAGTCGCAGAAGAGATGCTAGTCGCTCATCTACTCGTAGACATGATAGTCGCTCACCTGCCCGTAGACATGACAGCCGCTCACCTGCCCGTAGACATGACAGCCGCTCACCTGCCCGTAGAAGACGTGATCGTACACCTCTTAGAAGTCGTAGCCGTACGCCTCTTCGTAGTCGTTCTCCTGTTCATCATAGTCGCCGTAGACGTAGTTCTACTCCTCCAAGACGTCGTCGTCGTTCTGATAGTCGATCTGACAGTGGTAGCCGTGATTCATACAAGCGTAGACGTCGCTATTAGAAAATTAAAAAAAAAAATAAAAAAAAAAAATAAAACAATAGATCAATGTATGTGTTGCATTGATTCTCTCCCTCTTTACTTTTCTTCCCCCCTTTTTTTTCATATTTGTAAATCTGATTTTATTGCAGTAATAAACAATGTCTCTCTCTTTCTCTTACAAAAGAGTTTCATAAGCAATAGGAGCAATGGTTTGAGGAACATTGAACTTGGTAGAAACATGACGAGCTTCACGGGGTTGAACAGGAATTCTCTTCAAGTTGAAAGAGACTAAAAAAAAAAAAAAATAAAGATTTAGAGGAACAATGACCATCATGCATGAACTTACCACCAGCTTCCTTGGCTTCCTTCTTCTTTTGGGCATTAGCCTTGACACGGTCCAAGAATTCTTGACGACACTTGGAGTGCTTGATGTGTTCAATACGGATGTTGACACGCTTCTCCATGAAACGGTTACCGACCTTCTTGTGGACAATGACACCAACAGAGGTCTTGGTGACGTTGTAAATGACACCAGTACGACTATAGAAAATGAGTTATCCATACTGTTTCGTTGCCTAGGTTGATGATGTTGTTGATATTTACCCGTGGTAGAACTTGTGGGGCATACCCTTTTGAACAGCAGCGTTGGCCTTGATGTCGACAATATCACCAACCTTGTAGGTCTTCAAGTAGGTGGAGAGAGGGATGGCACCATGTTCTCTGAAGTTACGAGAGAACATGTGACGAGTACGAGCGCGAACTAAGATATAACTGGTCAATATACATCATTCTGCAATCGTCGTGTTGTTTCCTAATAAAAACACAAGGTGATGAGAGTGTCTACTTACGACCGAACGAGTGAGGCATCTTGTACGAAGTGGTATGGAAAGAGACCGAAAAAAGGGTTGGAAGGAAAAAAATTATTATTATAGCGAGCTGGAAAAGAAAAAAAAATTGTAGTGGCTTAGCAAATCAAGAGCCATCGTGTGCACTGTATTCATGAATGCAAGAGGGCTGTTTTGATAAAGTCTATAGGTCTATCTTGAGCAATGAGATAAGAGAGAAAGAGAAAGAAACATGAGCAGTGCCTTCTTGGTCTTTTGTTGAACTGTAATTATCATAGACAATAATGCTTTGATATGGAAGGACAATGTGGGATGTCTGTTGAGCTCACTACATACATCCCACCGCTTTGTGTGGCTTATGTCAATTCAGCCAATCAAAAAAATTTATGAAGGAAAATTTTTTCTCTTGTGGACATGTTACCGTCATTTTTTTTTTTTATTTTTAAAATGGAGGAGCAACCAGTTCTTGTTTTGTTTCCTTCTCTTTAACCTTTACAAGCATGCCTGGTAGAACCTACAGCAAGACTTCCAAGGTCCCTAAGCGTCCTTTCGAATCCGCTCGTCTTGACCAAGAACTCAAGTTGATTGGTGAATTCGGTCTTAAGAACAAGAAGGAAATCTGGAGAGTCGGATTGACCCTTTCCAAGATCCGTCGTGCTGCTCGTGAACTTTTGAAGCTTGATGAAAAGGACCCTCGTCGTCTCTTTGAAGGTAATGCCTTGATCCGTCGTCTTTTGCGTATTGGTGTTCTTGATGAAACCCGTATGAAGCTCGATTACGTCTTGGCTCTCAAGATTGAAGATTTCTTGGAACGTCGTCTTCAAACCCAAGTCTTCAAGTTGGGTCTTGCCAAGTCTATTCATCACGCTCGTGTCTTGATTCGTCAACGTCACATTCGTGTTGGTAAGCAAATCGTCAATGTTCCCTCTTTCATTGTTCGTTTGGAATCTCAAAAGCACATTGACTTTGCCTTGACTTCTCCTCTTGGTGGTGGTCGCCCTGGTCGTGTCAAGAGAAAGAGAGCTGCTGCTGCCGCCGGTGGTAATGATGATGCTGAAGATGATGAAGAATAAGCTCTTTCTCTCCTCCCAGATATGAACCTTTGCAAATAATAAACGCTCGTTTACAATGATGTTTGATAACATCTTCATTTGCAAAGCACCTGTCGTTACTTTATGTGACACAGTATCATATTCCATGGTTTATTTTTTTTTTTTTGGGGCTATTATCTCTGGAAAGAACTCTGAGGAATCTATGGATTCATATTTCATACATATGTGTGAATTTAAGCCTTTCTCTATATGGTGTTCCTTTTAGGATGATAGTAGTCCTTTGCATGGTTTATGAGAGTCTTTTGATTACGTATTTATTTATTTGAGTCTATCTATTTAAATATCCTTTGGATTTGAGGTCACCAAAGTAATTTCATCAGGTTGCATAAGTGAAGACACAACGTTCTTTTTTGCAGTCAATCGCTTCTTGACAAGTTGTCGATAACAAACAGACATTGTGACATAAAAGAAAACGAAAAAAGATAACACCCACATAAACAAGACATTTGTCTCTTGTTTGACTGTGGTGCCAATGTCATGTTCAACTATGGTTTCTATTGCCACCGTAGGCATAGCTTGAACTGTAGTTGTTGTAGTAGTCGTAGGCACAATCTTTCGCATGATCTTGAATTCAGTTTCTGGTAACAAATGAAAATTATCATAGTCAAGCTAAGAGAATGGGGATGAGTAATCAAAGTGCATAGACTCTATTGTCTACTTACTACCACCATGCCTTGAAGTTTTAAACGAGTCACTGGCTTTTGTGGTTGCATATTCCAGCCTACATCAACAGGCCATTGTTTGAGTTTGGGATCAATATGACCTAATACAGCTAAAGAATCAGGTTCAATCTGATCTTGTTCGTCTTCATCATCATCACATGCAACTGAAGTAAACAAGGTCTCATCAAAGTCTTGGAATTCACCTATTGTCTTGTTCGTCACTGCATCCTTGACAAGTAAAACAATGCCTTGATAAGCATAGCGTCCTGTGAGATGGATATTGACCAGAGAAGGTGAGTCAGTCGAGATCTTGACACCGTAGCAATCGGGACATGTGGATTGAGAGGGACCATGTCCTATTGTGGCCATCTTATTCATATTGCACTATGATGTATCAATTACTATTTTTTTTTCTTTCTCTCTCTTTGTGTTGTTCATATTTACTGTTCCTGGTGCACTTGGATAAGCATACATAGACTCAAGTAAACATGACAATACGATGAGGACAAAGAGTCTCATAGTGTAAAAAATAAAAAATAAAAAAAAAAAAAAGACGATACAAATAAGATTTCCGAGCCCATTTTATTAATTTTTATACCATGCATAAAAAACTTAGTTAATGCAGTCTTTAAGTTCATGTAAAGAAGACCTTAGTCTCGGTACTAAGAAGAAGGCATTATCATATTCAGATGGAGCAAGAGGAGCATAAGAAAGACTCTTTTCAATTTGTTCTGTAGTACGCTCCATAGTCTCGACTTTATCTTCATTTTCATCTTTGTTTCCTCGGCGACGATCATCAGGTACACAACAGACACGCCTGGCAGAACGAACAACACCTTCTACAGCACTGATTGCATTGAAAAAGGGAGTACTGTTCAAATTGATATGAAAGCTGGCTTCATCCAGACGATCAAATTGAGTTTGCAATTCATTGACAGCAGCTGTACATGTTCGAAAGGAGGCGGGCTTTTTTGGGGTAAAAGAGGGTCTAGAGACAAAGACAGAAGAAGAGTCGCTGCTGTTGGTGTGTTGTGTAGAGGAGCCTTTGGGCTGCTTTTTCTTATGCTCGACTTCAGACGTAGGTTTCGCTTGTTTGCCTTTAGACACTTGGCCAACTGACTTGGTAATAGCAGCAGCTTGGATTCCTATACATACTATTTAGATACCTTTTCGTTCACATTCATTTTACCCAACACAAGAAAAGTAACAAAAGCAACTGTAGTAAAAAGAGAGAAATGCATGATAATGTATAACAACAACAATTCTTGTTTCTTTTATATATGCTTGAATAGCCTTAGTTTATAGAAAACATACATTGCTTCTATACAGCTTCATACTTGACAATATCTGCAAGGGGCATAAAAAAAACACACTTTTAAGCTTCCGTATGTTGTGTCAAAAAGAAGAAAAAGGGGTGGGGGAAGGGCATTAGTTTCCATTGCTAATGTCTTTAACAACACATTCATTGTGAACTTAACTCTAATCTGGATGAATGTTCATGCGTTTATTTGAGTCTGTATCCTTTTTTTTTTCCACTTCTTTTATTTATATTTATATATGTTTATACAAATATGACTGAAGCTATCAAAACATATCATATACATCCTATCTACAAGGAAAAATGCAGAATCATCCAACAGAAATCAGAGGCAGCATTAGAAACCATGAAAAACGCAACCCCAGAAGAGCGTTTACAACTCCTTATCCAAAAGCGTGCAGACGATGATGTTCAAGCACGCAAATTAATCATGCCTGCAACTGAACAAATTAAACTAGAAATTTCTGGTGGACCCAATCATCTCAAAGTCAAGACAGTCATTTTTAGACCCCCTGGCACTCAGGACAATGTATTACCTGTGATCTTGTATTATCATGGTGGTGGGTTTATTAAGGGCTCAGCTTATACGCATGCTAAACTAGTCAGTGAAGTAAGTGACTCCAAAAAAAAAAAAAAATAAGGATACTGACCTATGGTGTAGTTATGTATCCGGACACATTCGGCGGTTGTGTTGGTAGAATACACGTTGAGTCCTCAAGTTCAGTTTCCAGTGGCAGCGGAAGAGTGTTTTGCAGCCTTATGTTGGCTTCGAGATCATGGTGCAGCTTCGATTCATATTGATCCTGACCACATCATTGTGGCTGGTGATTCTGCTGGTGGCAACTTGGCTGCTGTTATCACTCGTAAGTAAAACATGAAAAAAAAAAGCTGCCTTATGGATCATTTTGCTTATCTATTTCAAGTCATGGCTAAGGAGCATGGTATGTCGGATGCTATCCGAGCTCAAGTGCTTATGTATCCCTGTGTTATTTTTGACACTAGCAAATATGAATCATACCAACTCTTTGGTGGTGGTGATTATGGATTAGGTCTAAGAGAAATAGAGCTTGTCAAGCAATGTTATCTTTCCAATCCTACAAAAGATATGCAAAACGTGTACGCTTCCCCTATTTTAGCTACAGACGAGCAGCTTCAACACCTCCCACCTGCACTTATATTGACATGTGAGGCAGATGTGCTTCGTGACGAAGGAGAAGATTATGCAACTCGCTTGACAGATGCAGGTGTGCCTACTTATGGTATGCGTATATTGGGTGCAATTCATGGCTATATGAGCGAGGATCACCCTGAAACGCCACAGTACGTCATGTCTCTCCAAATGATTTCTGAGTTTATTAAGCAACATCATACACAATAAAATAAACATTGTCTTCTTGAAATCCCGTTTGCCATGAGTTCATTAGATACCCATTTTGCCATGTGTCAATGGAGATATAAAGGCTTCTTGTTTGTCAAGTGAATAATATAGACCCATTTTATGTTGCCCAAGACTTTTATTTGTTGTTACGCATAATAGTTAGAAAATAGAAAAAAAAAACGATAATAAAGGGCTGTGTTTTCTAAAGTTGTTTACATAGAAAACTACATTTTTTTCTTGGATAGTTACACTAAAGAAGTGCAAGGTACTTTGGTATCCGTTTTTCCAGCAATTACTCTAATAAAAAAAAAAAGCTTAAATGTAGACCTTCATATTGTATTGCCACATTTAGGTATCGGATTTAAGTCTCCTATTACATTAGATGAACTATAAATACATTGTCTTGTATTGAAGCTTTCTTTTTCTTTTTTTTAAACAAAAAAAAAAAACTTATATCAATTACTATGCCTTCTGGAAAGCTCACATTCACTCCTTGTAAGTAACAGCATAGGTACATACATACATGACTGACAACAAACAAATTCAGTGACCATTGCTGGTCTTGCTCAAAACGGATATGCAGGTAATCATTTGTTTGTAGATATACAAAGGTGAAAGCTAACCTCAAGACAGAATCTCAACCTTTTATTGGATGCTATGTCTCTTCTGCTGAAAAGCATCGAACCAATTCTGCTCAAGGTCCTGAACCTCAATTCCATGACACTTTGAAACTGTAAGTAATAGCATTCTTCGAAAATGAAACCAACATCGATGTTAGTAACGTAGGCGAACAAGATCAAACCCTTCATATCGATGTGATCAATGAAGACGCCTCTCGTCCTGGACTTATGGGTTCTACTCAAGTTCCATTGTCCAAGGTCTTTGAAGCTGGTAACTTTGAAGACTGGGTTCCTTTGTCAGGCACGAACGGTGCACCTTTTGGTCATGTTTTTGTCAAATTGAACTTTCAGGTAAGTGTGATGGTCCAATGCACTTTTGTACTGAATTGTGTGTACTTTAAAAGGCTGAACAAGTGAATGATGGCTATCACAGTTACGGTGCTCCTGCTACTGCTCCTCCTCCTTATGGTGGTGAACAACAAGAAATGCATTCACCCAACACATACGGTCATCATGATCTTCCTGCCAGACAAGACTCTGCTTCTTCCTTGGGTCCACAAACACCTATGCCCAATAACTATGGGTCTGGACAAGCACCTAATTTCCACCATCAACAACCCATCAGTTATGGCTCTGATGCTTCTTTTGGTATGCCTGGTAGTGAATCACATGATACTCGTGCTCCTGGTGCCGCTGGCGGTTACAATGGTAGCAACAACAGCTACACACAACCTCCTGCCTACAATACGCCTCCTGTTGCCTCACCCGGCAGTGCTCCTGGTACACCTTCATCTACTGCTTCACAAGAAAAGAAAAAAAAGCCCGTTCCTGATTGGATGGTAAGATGAAGCTTCATGAATCTTTTATTCATGCCCTCTTTTTTTTCTGTAGAAATACGGTGGTGCTGCTCTTGCTGGTGCAGCAGCCGTTGGCCTTGGTGCTTGGATCAAGCATGAAGTTGATGAAAACGAAGAGGAAGAAAGGGAAGAAGACTTGAAACACAGAGAAGAAGCCATTGAAAGAAACGAGCATCGTTTAGCTCAAGAAGAAAGAGACTTACACAGTACTTATGGTCATAACACTAATCCTTATTACGTTCCTCCTGAAGAAGTGCACGAGCGAGGCATCCCTAAGCCTCAAGAAGAGCATGAAGAAGAATACAAAGAGGAACAACAAGAAGAAGAGGAACAACAAGAAGAAGAGGAACAACAAGAAGAAGAGGAACAACAAGAAGAAGAGGAACAAGAAGAAGAAGAGGAACAAGAAGAAGAAGAGGAACAAGAAGAAGAAGAGGAACAAGAAGAAGAAGAGGAACAAGAAGAAGAAGAGGAACAAGAAGAAGAGGAACGTCCTGCTGTAGATGACTCTAAATGGCGCTAAATAAACATATAGAAACCATATAGGTTTAAGTACAATTTTTTCTTAATCTTCCGCTCGTTCGAGATGCGTACTTCACCTAGTAGTCGTGTTTGCTGAAGATGCATTCTTCGCATCACAAGTCTATGCTATATACAAACAATCTTATTAAGATCTTGTCAATGCTTTTTTTTTTAGCAGGCAGTTTGGCAGTTGTCTTAACCATCTGTTTCAAGGTACACCTGAGTGTATCAATTCTTCTAGTCTTTTTTTTTTCTAAAGCAATTACATGATGTTCAATGGGACTAGACAGAAGAGAGAGGCAGTTATTATGGTCACATTTGTTTCCTTTGGAACAAAATAATGTGAAGAGGCTCATCAAATCAAGAGCTGTAAACACTGACCTACTTAAATTCTAATTCAAGTTCAATTGAACATTTATGATGGGATCTTGAGAAGTGAGTAAAAAGCATGTGAGCTGAGATCAATAATACTATTGAATTGAAGGGAGTACTTGTTGAAGAATGGAAGAGGATCAGTCCTGATCTTGCAGAGCGTTTGGTGTCGATAATAATGCCAGGTAATGATCAATGCTTAGAAATGACACTACAAAATATCAATACATTTTTCTCTAATTGCTTCTTCAAGTTGGTCATGCTGAGTTGTCAAACGCATAAATTCTAGATGAATAAGCACTTTATTGATTGAGAGAGGGCTTCTTTTACTTTCATTACTTTCTCACGGAGTTTTAAAAAAGGATCTGTCGAATTTTCATCATATTAAACTGTATGAAATGTTGAATTGATCAAAGCTCGATATAGTCATGGTTTGTTTCCATAATGCTTCTATCCAACTATTTGTAGCTGAGAGATAATGAAGAAATCAAAGTTATCCTACAACGATATTTATGCATCCTTGTCGGACTGCTCTTTCCTATTCAAGTCCGCCATTTAGGCCAAAGGAAAGCTAGTCACAGTCGGCGGTCCAATCTTCAAGTGTTTAGAAAATATAGTGTTCGATTTACCCTGGAATTCTTTCTTTTTTATTTTTTATTCCTTGTCTCAAAGACACTCTTACGTATAATATAAAATGGGTCACTCTTCACAAGATCATTCTAGAGATCCCTGGTAAGCGTGTAGATAGTAAAACAATCGAGAATTAAACATTTTCTTAAGCCCTTGGGTTATTCTTAACGATTTAGGTGGTGCATTTGTTATGGGTGCAGTTGGTGGTGGTATTTGGCACTCTGTCAAGGGAGCCAAAAACTCTCCCAGAGTAAGTACATTGTGTAGATTGATAAAAACCAATACTAAAGCAGGTATGTCTAGGGTGAGCGTTTGACTGGTGCTGTTTCCGCCATGAAAGCTCGTGCCCCCGTTTTGGGTGGTAACTTTGCAGTTTGGGGTGGTCTCTTCTCAACATTTGATTGTGGTTTGAAGGGCATCAGACAAAAGGAAGATCCCTGGAATTCTATTATTTCTGGTGGTTTGACTGGTGGTGTGTTGGCTGCTCGTGGTGGTGTCAAGGCTGCAGCAGTTTCTGCCGTAGTCGGTAGTGCTCTTTTAGCATTGATTGAAGGTGTTGGTATTGGTATTTCTAGAATGACTGCTGATCAAGTCAAGCCTGTGATGCCTCAGGTAAGAATAATGACAAGCATGAATGGCAAAAAAGCATTGACCTTTTTTTTGATAGATTTAAGCACCATCATTATCTTAAAAAAAGATCAAATAGATTTATCTACCCTTTACTCTTGTGTATATATTATACGTTTCTCCCATCTCCTTTTATTCTCTTTTCCACTATTATACGTTTCAATCAGTGGTTATTGTTTTTTTTTTGTCCAGTCGAGATACTTGGATATGATGCTACAATAAACGATTTCGGATAAAAAAAAAGCAAAGCAGTGATTTTCACCGAGAAATGCTGTGTGACTCGTTACTAATTTTTGAGACATGAAGGCAGTGTTCCTTTTTGACTCACTTTTTCTCTCTCTCACTTTCTCTTCATCCCACTATGTCTACACACAAGCTACCAGCATGGTTGCCTTTATCTTTTACACTCTCTCAACATTTGGCTGAAAACGAACTGCATAAACGATACTTGTCAGCAACAGAACAAACTTATTTTCAAGACGCTTTGGTGTCTTTTACAACTTGGATAGCCTTTATCAATATACAAGAGAAAAGTGACTTGTGCACCACAGCCTTTCGTGTACGTTCTATGCTTTATGAACAATTGATACCCCACCTTTTTCATCACCGCAAATCGTGCTGTAAAGCACTAGAACTTGAACCTTTATTGGAGAAAGCGCGACAGCTAAAAATACCACCAGAAACAGAGATAGCACAGGCTCTACAAACATTTGTAGAAGCGCATGTTTTTATAAAGAAAGAAGAGTCAGAACAGCAAATGCTATCGCCACCACCTTCCACACCTCCACCAGCGGCAATAGAGACGATAGAATCCATAGAACCAACTCAGACAGCAGAGCCAGTACCGCAGGAGAATGAACAGAACGAGACAAATAACAAATCAGAAAAAAAAATACATGAGGATCAAGGTGACATAGGCAATGAATGAATGAAGTATTCATTTTTCTGTGAATAGTTACAGACCCAAAAATAGAAGAAAGCTTTATAGTGAGTGATGATGTCCCTCTGATAGACATATTTCATACACTTGAGTTTGACATGCCAGCTATGATAGAACAACGCAAATTAGAAGTAGGATTTGTAGAGATAGTCCCATCATGCTTATGATTCTATATATTAGGAATTCGAAGCACAAGAGCAACTAAACGAAGCCGAAGAAGAAAAAGAAAACGCAGCAGCCAAATCAGTAATTGTCAAAATGTACTAAAATAGTATAGATTAACTGATCTCTTTTCTGTTAGCTACAAATGTTTAATGCGGACGGCAATTTTAATTTAAAGGTAGAGAGCAAAACATACGGAATAGAAGACTGACCTTGTAATAGTATCTTTTACAAGGCATTGTGGCAAACAGACAGAAAACATCATTATCTGATCGAGAATTACAAAACTTGTTATCTGATTTTAAACCACATCGATCCAAATGGGTAAGGAAGCAGAAGTTTGAGAGGGGTGGAGACCAAAACTAACAATATAGGCAAACGATGATCGTGTGGGTCAAGAAGAGTTGTACGAGGCTTGCGAAAAAGTATTGACAGATCTAAAGAATTACACTGAACACTCTACACCCTTCTTAAACAAAGTGAACAAGCGTGAAGCACCAGATTATTTTGATGGTAATAAACAAGCACTCACAGATCCGTATATAACACTATTGCTAGTCATTGAGAAACCAATGGATTTAGGCACAGTAACGAAAAAGATGAAGAACCTGGCATACAAATCCAAAAAGGAATTTGCTGATGATCTCTTTTTGATCTATGAAAATTGTCTAGCCTATAATACAAATTCAGCCAGCGAGTACAGAAAACATGCCATTGCTATGCGAAGGAAAACAGAACGCCTATTATCGCGTGTGCCTAACATTACTATCAAAGACCTTCGACCAGACATTGAAGAGGAGGGAGATGACATAAGTGAAGAGGATGAACAAGAACCCACTACATCTCGTAAATCAGTAGGCAAACATATGGTATTCAGCTCGATCAATGAACGCAAATCTACGCCTGTATCAGACCATCAGTTTCGAGAGCGATCCATGACTCGAGGATCCAGTGTAGCTATTGATCATCAAAGTGACATTGAATTAACACCCGAACCCCATCATCATGTTTATGGTGGAAAAAGCATTCAAAAAGATCAATCAGGCTATGCAGATCCAGAAGAAGAAGAAAAAAATATGGAGGCAGAAATTGACGATGGAGAATTTCAAGACCAAGTGTGGCGAGAAAAGACAAAGCGTACAAGAGCAAAACTGACAACAGATGTTGAAAAGCAGTATCAGTTTCCCTTTGGAGAAAGAGAAGCACTTGTAAGGTCGAGCTTAGATATGGAAAGATTTGCAATGATAGAGCATTTACATGATAAACCTAAATCTGTGATGCGCTTACTGAGATGTGATCATGACCGTTTTCTTAAATGGACAGACAGACGATCTAACCAGGCAACATTGTATGATGACTTTGATCTGGATTCAAGTGACGACGAGAATTTGGATGCCTTTTTTTCGCGCAAAATTGCAAAACCTGACAAGACAGTGGACGATGCTGCTAGAACAGATTTGTTTCTGCCAGATTATAACATAACAACTGGTATCCCTGAAATAGAAGATATAGTGAAAGACTTGTCAGAACCTGCTTGTTCTAGTCAAGAAAAGGGAATTGTACGCAAATCTTCAGTAGACCTAAGCCCAGAAGCATTACTAGCTGCACAAGGGTATGTAGCTTATGTGTGTCTATTCTCTAATGATTTCTGTAGATATTCTTCTTTGTCTCTAGATTTATATCCAGAGCTTGACTTTCCAACCTATGGACTTAATCCCTTAATTGACAAGAGCAATCAAAAGCTGGAACAAATTCGACTTGTTTATGCTAAATGCAACGCTATTCGAAACAATGTGCCTATATCCTCTTTAACAGGATCAATTGAGCTAGAAACATCTACATCAAGCCAAGAACAACTCAGTATTGTTCCTTCTTCTTCAGTCAAAGAGCGTCCACCATTATCTCTTAATAGCGAATCAGGCCATCAATTAGCTCAAAAGATACTATCCAAAATACTTTTGCATGCTGGTTTTGAAGGTGCTAAAGTCGGTGCATTAAATGTACTGACAGATATCATGACAAATTATCTGACAAGTATTGGAAAAACCATGCGATCCTATTCGGATAATTACGGCCATCAAATGAATGGAGATGTAAGACTTTTCACAGCTATCATACACAGATTCTAATCTTGTTTTTAGGAAATGCTGTCTCATTCCCTTTATGAAAATGGCGTGTTGAACATTTCTGAACTTGAGGATTATGTGCATGACGATGTTGAACGGGGAATGCAGCGTCTGGACGATTTGCATCGTAGACTTCAGACTTCGTATCAAGATTTGCTGTCTGTAAGTTAAGAAACCTTAAAAATACATAGATTCATGGTTTTTCTTTTTTTTTATGATTTAGGGCCCCATTGAGAAATCAACAGAAGATGAAGAAGAGTTGCTTAATGAGGAAGAGACATTTATCACGTAAAAAATTTGTATTCAAAAGAACAATACTTATGATTTTATAGTGGTATATTTGGTGAAGATCTTGGTGAAGATTATTTTGGGTTTAGGGAACTTGGTCTGGATCGAGAATACAACATGGGCTCGCTTCAGGTAAATTGTATGTGGTGTTTATGCATCTTCTTATACTATTTTAGATTCCTAGTCGTCTTTGGTTTGGCAAGAACAAAGACAATGCCCCCATAAAAAGCATTATTGCAAAGGAGCCCCAATACCGATTCCCCCCACCGCCCAACTTCCTTCCTGTCAAGTCTGAAAAAGCATTTATTGGTCTACTTCAGCCTTACTTTGCTAAAAAATTACCAATCGTTGAAGACGAGTTTATTCCCAACCGTAACAAGAACCGGCCTCGTTACCCACCCACAAATAAGATTACAGCAGGCCGTAAAAAGCTAGCTAAAGACTCTTCTCATTCAAATACAGGTACAGATCATAAAAAATATAAGCGTAAACGACCAGCAGAAGAAATTGTAGCTGAAAAGGCAGAAAAAGCCGAAAAGAAGCGACAAAAGATGGAAGAAAAAGCCCAGCGTATTGCAGAAAAAGAACAAAAGCGCAGGCTAAGGGAAGAATTAAAAGAGCAAGAAAAGCAGGCAAAAATGGAAGCCAAAGAAAAGAAGAAATTGCTTAACAAAAAAACCAAACAACCCAAAAACACTAGTCATCATAATCATTTCGCTGATTCACCATCTAACCATGTGGAAGAAGAGGATCAGATATAATATTGTACATATCACATATAGAAAATAAACAGGGAGAAACTGCATAAATTATTATTTTGTAGTACAAATACACATGATCAAATATTTCTTTTCCCCTTTTCTTTCTCTTTCTCTTATATTATGCCACCACACATTCCCTTTCCTTTGCGTGAAGCCAAAATTCAAGAAAATCAAGCTTTTCAGCCCAATTTGAATATTGCTTTGGTATGTCCTGACTGTCGAGTACAACCTCCGCACATTGTAGAGGAATTTGCAAGTGGGGATCTTGTTTGTGGTGATTGTGGTCTTGTTCTAGGAGATCGTATTATTGACACTCGTTCAGAATGGAGAACATTTGCTAATGATGAAGGCGATGTAAGCATAGAGGCATCATTTTTCATTTATGTTTATCACGCATAGGACCCTTCTCGTGTCGGTGCTGCTTCTAATCCTTTATTAGACGGAGATCAACTTGATACAGTTATTTCTCGTCGAGATGGTGGCACAGGAGTTGCTCGTGATCTCAATAAAATCCAAGGCAAGACGGCTTCACACAAGGGTGAACGAAACCTTGTCCAGGCTTACAAAGAAATCCAAGCCATGTGTGATTCGATTTCTCTCTCTAAACTTGTGAGTGATACAGCTAAACAATTATACAAACGAGTAGAAGATGAGAAGCTTTTACGAGGCAAATCAAGTGAAGCCATCATTGCTGCATGTATCTGTATTGCTTGCCGCCAAGAGCGTGTGGCTCGAACCTTTCGTGAAATATGTGCACTTACTCGTGTGCCAAAGAAAGAAATTGGTCGTTGCTGCAATGTGCTTAAAGCCAAACTACAAACCAATACAAATGTCATGAACTCAGAAGATTTAATGGCTCGTTTCTGCTCCAACCTACAGCTACCTAATTATGTGCAAAAATCAGGCGTAGATTTAGTGAGGAAAACAAAAGAGCTAGGCACGCTTGCTGGCAAGTCACCTATTTCAGTAGCTGCTGCATGTATCTACTTGGTGTCTTATTTATTTAAGCATCCCAAATCTACAAAAGATATTGCCAACGTAGCTGGTGTATCAGAAACAACAATTAAGGCTGCTTATAGATCACTTTATTTTGAAAAAGAAAAGCTAATTGATCTAAGAGCGCTTAAAGACAAACCTAACTGTGAAGGCCTTAATTTTGATGAGTTGGTTTTACCCTGATTTGAATTTCCGAAGCATTTAAAGAAAAAAAACTTCTATACTGCATTTTTCTTTTTCCTTTTTTACTCTATTTTACATCATATTAAATGACACAGTTATCTTATGGAGATGTTGCGGACAGATTAAGAGGGTCTTGTTCTGGAAAGCAAATGCCGTTTTTGTATGCAGTCAATCGAGCCTATGCTTTTTCAGAGGACATTAAACAGTATGTTGTCTTTTTCAGAATTCGATTATAATCATTTTGTTTAGAAAGACAAAAGGAATACATTCTCAAGTATTTGATATGAATCAGTATGGAGGAAATGAAGACTATTTGACTTGCATGTCCATTTCTCAAGTAACTCTTTATTGACACAAGATGGAATGTTTATCGATTCTATAGGAGAATGGTATTATAGCTATGGGTTCGGGCAACAAGGCAGGCAATCTATACTTTGTTCAAGACTCGTCTGCTATTAAAGACGTGGAATTAGGATCTATGAGATTTAAAGTAAACGGAGTTTCTGACAAGATAAAATTATAAGCTTTTACTAATGCTTTATAAGCCTGTTCATAAACAAAGTCTGGGTATGCCCATTCATTCACTTGATTGGTCAAAAAACAGAATCTTGATAGGTAGCCGCCAAGGCATTGTCAAGTTATGCACTGTCAATATACAAGAAGGGTCCTCTTTCCAAGGTTTTAATTTGGTAGGACAATATGTCAATTCACCATCCGAGGTAAGACAAAATAATCCAATAAAAGCAACAAAGTAACACACATAGATTGTACATTATGCTCCATCCTACACAATCAACACGCAAGTCAAAGCGGTTGAATTTTGTCCTGTCCAAGACCAATTCCTATCAACTACAATCAATCAATTGGCGATATGGGATACAACACAAGAGTCAGCACCTATACATCGATATTCGTCTTTGCATCAAGCACCACTAAATTGTGCTAGTTGGTCGCCCCATCAATCGCTCATTGTGTGTGGTGGCTATGATAGAAAGCTAGTCATTATCGATACAAGGACAAGTGACGGGGTGGCATGGAGTGCAGATAAAGCGCATGACCGCCCTATTCAGGATGCCAAGTTTAATCCATTTATACCATATTGGTTGGCTTCTGCAGGTACATGCAAGCAGTAATGATCAAGTATGACTTATTAACACATGGCATATAGGCGAAGACTCCGTTGTCAACATATGGGATATCCGAGCAACACAACATTCTCCTGTTGCAAAAGTCGATGGCAACGTTGGCACAGTTAATTCAGTAAGTGTCTGCATACCACCATCACATGTCTTACTTGTCAGATTACTTGGTCCAATGTTCGCCCTGAAAATATTGGTACTGCTACTTCTGATGGCTTCATGCGTTTTTGGACCCTTTCTCCTGAAAGCTTCCCTATATGGGACACACATTACAGAATTACCCATTATAGCAATCAAGATACATTACCTATTGTACGTGAAAGGGATCAAGACAATATCTGGTGTATAAAGGATCAGAACTACAGATACGGTGATACTCGATCATGGCGTACAAATGTTTGGAAAGAGGATGTTGTTGATCAGGATAAAAGATCAGCTATACTTTTAGCAGGTGCACTACGCTTAGGTCAATGGGGAAAACAAGATTCAGGTCTAAAATATAAAGGAGAGGAGTCAGTACAGGCAAGAGGACCTGTTGTTTCAGGCAAGTTCATACAAAACTCTTGAAAAGCCTAATTTCTTGTATAGTTAAAACATCTGCATTAAGACCAAGCACGTATTATTCTATTACAAGTGGAGGGCAATTGACAGCACATATGGTGCGATTTGATACTGAAAGCAATTTAAGAAGTAGACACAGGTTTGACCCTGAAGACAAGAACGAAATTGCTGCCCAAATAGAAGATGATATTTATTGCAGACGCATTACAAATGCACAAAGCAAACTAGATTACCTTAAATCCATGTCAACCAGCGATGAACAAGCTGAACAGTATGTATACAGTCCTATAGATACTTGTCTTATGGTTTTTTTAGACAGCGTCTCGAAGAAGTGTCGTTTTTAGAAGATTGTCTTTTAACACGGGAACCGATTAAGGAAACTGATTGGCAGTTTGATAGTATACCAGATATATCATCTCGTCGTTTCTCGCAGAGATCATGGAAGGATCAAGACATATATCAATGTGCTATTGATCAATTCAAATCTGATCTTAAATATTGGAGCTATTGCATTCCACCCGGCTATAACAGACAATACAAGTTTCCTGTAAGTAAGAAAAAAAAACTTATGTTAAACCAACTTTTTATTTGCTTAGTTGGAATTCAAGGACCCAATTATTGCTGCTCATCTTACTGAAAAAGAAGAACGACCTCCATTAACAAAGGATCACTTGAGTTATGAATCATCAGCACTATCTATCAAAGAAAGAAGAAACATGAATCATGTCCCAAGTATTGTAACAAGCGACACACAACCTCTTAAGCAGCGAGATGTACCTTTTACACCGCCTTATAGTGGCATATCTCAAAATCCAGATATATTAACGAGCAAAAATCCCTTCCAAACATCTTCTCCTGAAAGAGTAACTCCTCCTTTAAAAGAAGAGCCTCGAAATACCAATCCTTTTGAGCAAGAACTTCCCCAAGAGCAACAATCTACAAACCCATTTGAATCGACCACTACGTTTGAAAGAAAAGAGAGCCATAATTGGATGTCATCTTCACATCATTTAAGTCTAAGTTTCTCAAGACATAGTACAAGCGAAGACAGTATTAAATCTCACCATTCAAAATTCAATCCATTTAGAAAGATCAAGTCGTATAGATTAAACAAGGATGAAGCTGGCGATGTGCCTAGCTTAAAGAGAGAATCATCTTCAGCAAACCGTAGAAATGCATTACATGGCCCTTTTTAATTTCACCTTTGTAGAACTTTTGATATTAATAATAATAAAATTACCTTTGCTGAATTATTTCTTTCGATAGAGCGAAAGTCTATTTTTTAGGTGAAAGGTTACATTCATTTCCTAGAAAGCTATAGACAGTACACTTATTGATCTTCAGACAGAGAAACCTAGCTTTATCCCGAACAGTATAACGCATATAATTCCGTTTTGTGCTTGTCTCTTTCATACGTATATCTTAATCTTTGGCTTTTCTGCCAACGTTGGATAAGCCAAACAAGAGTCACTGAAAATCGTAGCTTTTAAGTACTCAATATAAATTATAATTGTCTCAACGATAAGTTTATTTCAAGTAACATTGCATTCTAAATATTTTCCCCGTCAAAGCAGAGAGTACACCTAGTGTCTCAGGTAGAAAAAGAAAATCGACGTTTGAAATAGCCAATCCTCCTTTTGTATGGCATTGATTGTTGATCATGTCCCAAGCTCCTCTTTTTGGGCTCAAAAGTGTCATGTAATATGACATGTATTACTCGCACGCGCTCTGCATATTGAGTGATGTATACATAAATACATACTTGCTAATCAATATCCACTAAAAGGGGCCCTTTCATGCTGATTACAGTGTGCAATGAACTTTGAATACTCAAATAAAGTCGTCTTTTTCATATTGGTAAACTTGCTTTCTTTTATCAGAAGTACCTAGAGATGGCCTCACCTGATTTCGGTTGGATCAGTTTTTTTTTTGTTATTTAAAATATATACTTTTTTAGTTACATATCACTGAGGGGTGTAACGTGGAAGTTCTAAAAAAAAAAAAGGAGTATATAGAGTCATTCAATGAAAGCCTTAAAGTTCGGTTATCGCCAAAGGATGTTGGTGTAGTGAGATCAATGTCTAATAATGTCAGATATGATCCACTCAGGGTTGAAAGGTTGCTTGTCAATGGTAAAACGCCAGTAAGCGCACCATATTCGCCATTGACAGACAAATAAGACCGTGAAAAGTCGTTTGTTGGGCTAAAGGAAGGAGGGGCAGGACTGGAGGCATAGTAAAGCATATATCGAGTCAGCGGAAAGGTACAGGCATGAGTAAAAGCAACTAAGGACCTCTATCCACATGACCCATTCTAAAGGACAGTATATGATGAAGTGCTCAAATGAGTCAGTACCAAAAGAACACAAGTTGTATTTGCTATCTCATACTCGGCTAGTAGTACACAGTTGTAATTCTGCGAGAACTTTCTTGTTGATCACTCGGAACCATAGAGTTCTTGAAAGCAATGGTATAGTGGAAGACTAGAATAGATTGAGCAATTTAGGCGGCAGATATAGTCGAGCATTGGATGTACCAACATATTTATGCACTTTATAAGCCTTTGAGGTGTACTGCTTCTATAGAGGAGAGTCGTGCAACAGGGCCACTAATGGCTTATCATTTTCTTCAACATTCACTTGCTCTACTTCATTATGGATGTAGGGTATCAAGATATATTGGAGCTATGCGCAATGTCGGATTAGTACATCATTGTACAGTGAGTAACATAGAAGTGGAAGCTTTGTGTACTCTATGCGTACTTGAAGACGGAGCCGGTGTGTGCTCCCATCGAACTTGAAAAAGATCGCTGCAGGTGCGTCAGTATGACGATGAAGCCAGTGACCAGAAGGCAAGTCAAAGAACATCTTGATCAACAGGAAATGTAACAATGTTTGGATCGGCACTCGCTGTAGTTTCAGCCCCAAAATGGTCAAATGCTTGAAACATGACAGGAATGATAGAGAGCTGATGGCACATATCATGTTTTCGCAAGACCGGAGAAAAGAAAGGCAGGGAAGGAAAAGAGAAGTTGGTAGACATAAACAGCAGATGGTGATTCAAGGCTCTCTGCAGTAGTGTGTTACCCTGATCGCGATCAAAAAGAGCAAAAAGCCATTTAATCTAGAGCATTAAATGTTGGAGTGTAGGGTTTAGAAGACCAACGCCTCCCTGTAGACAGGAAAGACATAGTTGGTTGAAAGATATCTTGGGATATTTCTCTTGACAGACAAACTTGTATATCAATCGTTGTATTTGTTCTAAAAAGGCTTGCGTCGGGTGGAAAAGCCGCAGAAAGAACCATAGTTGGGACAGAATGAGAGTTTTCGTAATCATTGCACCTCCTTGCAGAGACAAATGTCGTTGTGAGAAAACGCAAAGCAACGTTTATACTTTGTCAAGTAACATACCCTGAACAAAATTCCTTTGCGTACTAGATCAGCAAGCCGTAAGTGAGAGTAGTTGAAGTCTCCAGAGATGATCAGTTGGTCTAAGGAGATGATATTTCTCAAGTCGTTCAGCATATTATGTAAATGATTGAAGAAAGTTTTGCGCTCTGAGCGGACAGAGGCAGGTGCATAAATGTTGAGTATATAAAATACTTCAAAGAAGTGTTGTAAATGCTCTACTTTGCAAAGCTGGAAGCGATCGGAAGATGAGGAGTGTGAAGTGTCAATGATGGATAGATTGAAATTAGGAGAAAGGCATACGATCCCCACATGGGGTGGGGGTCCAAAAGGATGTCGAGTGTTTCAATACGGGATTATGTATCCGCATAAGTCTCTTGGAAGCATATTATATCTAGTTCTAAAAGTTTGAAGTATCAAATATATTCTTTTTGTGTTTTAGGTTGATTTGTTTTCACTAAGCTGTTGGCGTTTAATGATGCATAATGTAATTGGAGTTCTTTAGTCATGAGGATATAGTGAGATATACTTATTGATGGCCTACAGAGGGGCCCATCGAATGTATACTTTTTTCTAATTGGGGCAATTGTTGATGGAGTTCAGCTAAAGTGTTTTGGTCAGCCTCGCTCAATATTTCTTCTGTAGACCTTCTTTGTATTTGGTGGATCTGCTGAACCAATGTCCGTTTGCGATCCATCTGCATAGGTAATAAATCTCTTAAGTTAATTATGGCGTCTCCCTTGACTCCATCTAACTCCATTGCCGACACATTTTCTTCTTGTTCAGATTCTTCTCTGTCACTACTTCTATCACTGTCACTATCTTGATCATCGTTTCCTCGTCACTCTCGCCATCTTCAGACATATCATCATCGCTATCCTTTCCTTTCATAATTGAGTTTGGACTTAAATTCTTCTTGGCTCCAGTCAAAGAAGCACGTTTGTCGTTTGGAGTATACTTAGACTTTGGTGCTTCTGTTGAAGAGACCAGTTGATCCACTTTAGGAGTAGGTTGGGGCGTTTCCTGAGAAGTCTAATTCTTAGGTGCAGGGATCTTCAGCTTTTTCGAGGGACTGATGGGTGGTTTACGAGGACACTCGAAAGATCGGTGCCCAAGTAAATGGCAGTGATAACAGATAGTTGGTGCCTTTGATTTCTCACACCCGAATTTCGTGTGGCCAGTCTGATGGCAATAACGGCACCAAGTAGACATGTTATTCCATGTAGCATGGAAAATTTCATCCTTTTCCTCCCGCCAACGAATGTTGTGGGCTAACTCCTGAAACTTGATTTGGTCTTCTCCTGATTGTCTGGGAGTACCAATGACAGCATAACCGGATCCCATAAAAAACCCAGTATTAGGCTTGGTTATAATGCCGACGTCAATAACTTGACCGAAAGGGAAGGAGGTTAGTTGCTCACGAAAAAAATGTCAGTGATAAAAGTTCACTTAGATTTTATGATGCATGATGCATGAAAGGCGATCTTTAAAATACAAATCAATTCTGGTACAAGCTATCATACATTTGCGGCTCCAATTTAATGAATTGCTTTTTCTAAAGTGAAAGATACATTCAGCTTAAGAAACTCAATATCATTTGCGCAATACAATATAGTTAGCAATATACTGTCTTGAGAAAGGCATATCATTGGCTATGCCTATTCATTCATTTACAGCTTCATGTCTGTCAAAAAACACTCTTTTGTGCCTCTTTTTATTTTACTTTTTTTCTTGAAAACACGAGTGTAAAAAGTGTGTCTTCAATACGCTCTGATACCACTTTTTGCTTTTGCGTATCTACTGTCTGGTGGCTAGTCTTTTTATTTCGCCAACTCGATCAAAACTTGTAACTATTGGCAATAGGAAAAAAAAATGCATTCAAATCCGGCCAAGTCCGACACTGCATACAACAAAAGAGCCCTGTGTATTCCCCTTTATTTTTTCTCTTTTTTTTTCTCGGAACGTGAATACTTATGGTGAAGGATAAAAGAATAATAGAAGAAGAGCCACCTATAGCAACTATTGAAGGTTGGGAAGACGGGCAACCTTTTAAACGCGGGATTCATAAGCTCGATCGTTGGGCACTTCAATCAGCTGATACACTCACTATTCATATTGGTCATAACGATATTGTATTAGTGCAAGACCCACATTCTAACTACTTAGGCGGCTATATATGGTTGACTTCTATTGTGTTTTGTTCATATCTAGAGAGGTTAAGCTTAAAACGTGACCGACACGGCTGGATCAGCTTGGACCATCGGAAGCGCTGGGTAGAATTAGGCTCCGGTGTAGGGTTAATTGGCATTATGCTGCGAAAACTGGGCATTGAGAATGTAGTGATTACAGACATTAAAGAATTAGTAGAGACTATGGAAAAAAACGCAGAAGCCAATGGTTTACATGTCAAGTCAATAAGTGGACGCCGAAAGAACGAGTATGATGAGAACACAATCGTGGTTGAGCCATTGTTGTGGAACAATAAGGAAGAAATGGATTCAATTAAAGCAGTAGAGGAAGATATTGACTATGTCGTGGCATGTGACTGTATTTACTCTGAAGCCAGCGCATTAGATCTAGTTAATACAATGGAGTATTTAGCAAGTGAAAAGACAACCATCATTTGTATCAGTGAAGTGAGAAATCAGGCCGCACAAGATAAATTTATGACAGAAGCAGAATCAAGGTTCCAAGTCGAATTACTGCCAGCTATGCAATGGCAAAAAAAACTGAATAGCGAGGTTGAATTTGAGGAAACACTCAATCTCTATAGGTTGCGCAAAACAAAGCGTTCATCAAAAGTTAGACGTAGCAAATCTTAAAAATCAATTTGAGTACGCAAATGATATCAACAATCAAAATTCTAGAGTCAAGACAAATACCATTTTTTAGCGACTTGAATAAAAACAATTACCACTGAAAGCAATACAAAGCCTACATCGCAACTGCGTGTAGGATAAAAGAATTCTAAAGCTAGCGTAAGAAAGATGCCAATACGAATAAATATCTTTTTAATTAGTGGATGTATTCATAGATAGTTTTTCACAAAATTATTGAACAGCTCACTGTTGGTTATTTGATTCTATGAATTGTACACTAACCCGAAATAAAAACTAGACCTGACTTCAAATAAAAAAAAAGGGGGGGGGTTCTCCATGATGATGCATTATGATACACCTTTTATTTCTCATTAAAAATTGTATAACACTGTCGAAAGAAGCAAAGCATGGCCCTTGTAACAAGCACAAGCAGATAAAATACCGAGGTGTTTGGTGGTACTATTACGACGGTATTTTACTGCGTGTAATTACTAACAAAGTTGATATGCCCTTCGAGACCGTATGAGGCATTGTTAGCCGCATCAAAAAATCGGAAATACCTTTGCCTCATGTTCCTTCTAGAGTACCTGCTCTGGATTGATTTTTATTTGGGGCCAGTGTATCTAACTCTTGATATATAATATGTCTTGCCTTGAATATATCTAAAAAAGACCATAATGTAGCATAACGTTAGTAAGCACATACATTTGTTAAAAAGAACGACCTTTTGAGATTCGTATGATATCCTATACTTGAACGACTTTTTCCACTCAATCAACACAGCCTAATTGTCAAGACTGGAGAGACCATCAGGTTTAGGTCTCAAGAGCATAAAGAATTGTATGATACTAGTTTGAACAACAAGGCTTTCAAGATCAATGCTAGAGTAATTTTTAAGAATGATGGAAAAAAAGTTGACGTTGTGTGTGGAGAAGTAGCAAGAAATGTTTTAAATCGTAAAATAATGACAGACGAAGGTAAACTAAGCCACGAAACAAAAGACGCAGTTGATTCAACACTGTCTCTAGTCAAAAAACCAGCACAAACGTTCAGCATACAAATCAATGCCTGCAATTGCCTAATAGCTACACAGCAAATGATAAGAAATGGTTTCAACTCTTGAAGAACTGAAAGTTTCTTGTCAAACTTCATGATGTAGTTCAGCATCCAACATTTAGCAATTAGAATATATGTATATCATATTGGCTTGAACTATTAAAGCACTTACAGAGCATGGCTATCGGACAGCTTCTTGTCTTCATGAGCAGCATCAATGGCAGCTTTTCTGTAGCTAGACAAAACAACCGAGCAATCTTCACCATCAACGATCCACTATAAGTAATATGAAAGTCAATCATACAGATCGTATGTATTACTGCTTTGCTTACCTTCATTTCTTGACAAGTCAATTTATTTTCATTGAAGTAGACAATTTTTCTTTGCAAACTGCAGCAGCTTGCAGGAGAAGCTTCAATCTCTTCTTCCTTTTCTTTTCGCTTTGCCCTTCATTTTGGACCAGGCCGATTGATTCATATTCTAGAAAAAAAAACCGAGATGTTATAGCTATTTGAAAATCGAAGAAAAAAAAAGCCAAAGAAATTATCAGAAAAGTCCACAAAAGCCTTGAAGCCTAAGCTACTTGTCACAGCCAAAATCGGGAAAAGCGTTTTATCTGTCGTATGCTGGTGACCATAGATAATTATTTACGAAAGGCAGTAGTTAATTAGTGAGTATTATGAGATAATAATGCATAACTTGATGAATATGTATTGTAAATTGTGATTCACATTAATGGCAGCGAAATAATCTTCGGAGAAAAGGTATTGCAAATTATTTGAAATGGCCTTCAGTATAGAGTTGATTGAGCTTAGGAATAATTCAAGTAATACGAAGAGCTGTAACTCTTAAATAATTCTTATATCAATGCACTATTTCTAGAAACCTTGAAATTATAGCGACTGTATGGTTTGAGATTGAATACAAGTCAGTTTTAAATCTCATAAGGTACCGGTAGAAGCTTTTATTCAAGTAACATCTGAAAGATATGAAAATGATACATTAACTCACTCAAAGTATCAATTGGTCATGAACAAGCTCTTTATATTAGCGTGTTTCATTGATGATATATTTCAAAAATCGCACACTTTCGACTACATCTCAAAAGGCTTTCGAAGAATTCATTTGCTTTATTCACGAATACATTACATAACATATAGCTTTTTTTTTTTTAATTTTATTTGCATAAAGACTTGTAATCTGCCAAAAACACGCATAACTATCGAGCTATTCTTGACATTCGCAAAATAATAAAGTACCTTTAATTGACAAGTATTCAAAGGCTTACAGAAATAAAAAAATAAAAAATGTAACCGAAAATTCTTTGTTTACAAATTTTTATTATGCCCAAGTCAGTGTGGTATGTTTTGAATATGTAAAACGCAAGACAACGCAACATAAACAAATGCTGTTTTTTATTTAGGCAAGAAGAAATCTTTATTCTTTCTTTCTTTTATCATTCATCATCATGTCAAATTATGGAGGCAAAAGCAGTGAAGTACCCCTTCTTACTGTCAATACAAATACTGTATTAGAACTCCCTACAACACCAAGACCTTCTGTAGTCGCATCCAGCAAAATCAACAATGTGCCACCTTTTGTCAAGGCAGGTCTTCCTATCTTCACTTACTGTATTGCCAGTATTGTTATGACAGTGACTAACAAATATGTGGTGAGTGGTGATTTCAATATGATCTTTTTCCTCTTGACTATCCAAAGTTTGGTGACTGTGTCGTTTCTACAACTCTTCAAGTTTCTAAACTTGATCCAATATCGTGGATTTGATAAAGAAACAGCCAAAAAGTGGTATCCTATTGTGATTTTCTTGGTTGCTATGATCTATACTGGTAGCAAAGCATTACAATATCTTCCTATTCCTATCTACACCATCTTTAAAAATTTGACAATTATCTTGATCGCTTATGGTGAAGTTCTTTGGTTTGGAGGCAATGTAACAAGTATGATGATGGTTTCTTTTATTTTAATGGTAAGTTTTCTAAGAAAAGGAAAGAGGGAGTATGTGACTAAATGTACAAAAAGACGCTCTCTTCTGTGATTGCTGGATGGAATGATGTTTCTTCAGTTGTTACAGTGTTTTTTGATGCAACAAATGTACTCTCCAGTGGTAATGGAAGTATTATGCTTGGGTATTTTTGGATGGCCATCAATTGTTTATCATCAGCATCTTTTGTATTGTATATGCGCAAACGTATCAAGTTGACTAACTTTAAGGATTTCGATACTGTTTATTACAACAATTTACTTTCCATTCCCTTGTTGGTTATCCCTAGTTTGCTATTGGAAGATTGGTCAGTAGCAAACTTGCTTGTCAACTTGTAAGTATAAGCAGTTAGGTGATATGTTGTTCACATTCTTCATAGCCCCCCTGAACAACGTCAGGCACGTATTTGGGCCATGATTTTCTCTGGTGTCTCTGCGTTTGGTATGTCTTATGCATCTGCATGGTGTGTGCGTACTACTTCCTCTACTACTTATTCTATGGTTGGTTCGCTTAACAAGTTACCAATCGCTATCTCTGGTATTGTCTTTTTTGGTGATGTTGCGACTTTTAGTAATGTCTCAGCCATTTTCATTGGTAAGTTAAAATGTCTGGCTATGTTCTCTAAGTAGCTTGAAATTAGGTTTCATTGCTGGTATTGTCTATTCTTATGCAAAGGCTTATCCATCTACCAAGAAACTCAAAGACGGTGTCTCATCAGCATCAAGTCAAAGTTATTTAGATGCATCTAATGTCAATGAAAAGATCAATATCGAAAAAATAGATTCATAAGCATATATTTTACATTAAAAGATTCTCTCTATTTTTATTTATTTATTTTTTTTTTTTACATAAAAGGGTATGCGTGTATATGTCTATATAAAGTAGTCTAATGTTCTTCCAAATGCTTAATGGCCATACGGACAAAGAATTGATGAATGCGGTTATCACTTGTCAATTCAGGATGAAAGGCAGTAGCAAACAAATGATCTTGCAAGACAGCAACAGCCGTTTCAGCTTCTGTTTGACCATGACTTTGTTCTAAGCGACCAACAATCTTGACACGATCAGATCTGATTTCAGAAATAACTGGAGCACGAATAAACACCGCATCAAAGGGTTCTTCACCCACAATATCGGGTAAATGTAAAAGTGTTCTGAAGCTTTCCTTTTGAGATCCAAATTGGTTACGGTTAACACAGACATCCAAACCATTGAATAATTGTTGACCGCCCTTCTTAGCACCTGTGGCTTCCTTAGCCAGCATAATCATACCTGCACAAGTACCCCAAGTAGGCTTGACCTGAACAAACTTACGCAAAGGTTCCAACATACCACAACGTTCAGCAATAAGAGCCATAGATGTAGATTCACCACCAGGAATAATAAGGCAATCGACCGAGTTTAACTCTTCTTGTGTACGAACAGGGATAGCAGCCTTCACTTCGGGAATTCTGTTCAACATATGAATATGTTCAATAAAAGCACCTTGCAAGGCTATCATATACGGCATAAGTATCAAAAAAGAAGTATAGAGTCAGTCACATACCAAGAACACCAACAGTGATAGGAGCAACAGTAATAGTCATGTTCAATAAAGTTTGACAGGTAAAGAGAGAGAAAACAAAAAGATAGATTGTGTCCCCTTTTTATATGAAAAATGAACAATTGAAACCTTTCAACTGGATGACTCGAGATGATAGCGCATCAACCTATAGTCACAAGCAATCTCCGATTTTTTTTTTCGCACGGCTTCTTATCCTCTTTAGATAGATTGCGTAGCTTATTTTGATGTTATAGTACAATTCATTACTATACTTTTGGCTTTATTTGTCTATATTTCAGAGTAGCCTGTATGCTTGCTTAACTGAAAATAAGGAGTCGCATATCAGATTAAGGAAACCACATTGGGTGACTGCTAGGGGACGTCATTGGTCCAAATTTTTTTAACAGTGTTTCTGTTTACTGCGACCAATAGAACATAACCTTTTTTGACTCTTTTTAGTTCTCTTTATTATGTCGTTTGATCACACTACTGACGATAAGCTTGCTTTTGAAACTTCTGAAAGTGTAAGTGGACATGTGTTTGAATCTTGCTTACTAAAGAAACGTGAAGGTTAAAGTAGTACCTACTTTTGATTCTATTGGTTTAAAGGAAGATTTGCTTCGTGGTATTTATGCTTACAACTTTGAAAAGCCTTCTGCTATTCAACAAAGAGGTAAAAAACAAACACAAATACAAACAAGCGCGTTCATCTGTTAACGAATGATTAGCCATTGTACCCATTATCAAGGGACGTGATGTGATTGCTCAAGCTCAATCAGGTACTGGTAAGACAGCAACCTTTTCCATTTCTGCCTTACAAGCCATCGATACCACCATCAGAGAAACACAAGCACTTATCTTGTCACCAACGCGTGAATTAGCTGTTCAGATTCAATCTGTTGTTTTAGCTTTGGGTGACTATATGAATGTGCAATGTCATGCTTGTATTGGTGGTACCAATGTAGGTGAAGATATTCGTAAATTGGAAGCAGGTGTCCAAATTGTCTCTGGTACACCTGGTCGTGTTTATGATATGATTCGTCGCCGTACTTTGCGTACACGTAATATCAAGATGCTCATTCTTGATGAAGCTGATGAACTGTTGAACCGTGGTTTCAAAGATCAAATCTATGATGTCTATCGTTATTTACCACCAGGCACACAAGTCGTGCTTTTGAGTGCTACATTACCCAACGATGTATTGGAAATGACCAACAACTTCATGACAGATCCTATTCGTATCCTTGTGAAGCGTGATGAATTGACATTGGAAGGTATCAAGCAATTCTTTGTTGCTGTGGAACGCGAAGAATGGAAGTTTGACACTTTATGTGATCTGTATGATACATTGACTATTACACAAGCTGTTATTTTCTGTAATACGAGAAGAAAGGTAAATGAGCATACATACAAATGTACATTCATGCTAATGTGCCTTATATTAGGTTGATTGGTTGACTGAAAAGATGAGAGAAGCCAACTTTACTGTGTCCGCCATGCACGGTGAAATGCCACAAAAAGAGCGTGATGCTATTATGCAAGAATTCCGTCAAGGTGCTAGTCGAGTGTTGATTACCACTGATGTTTGGGCCCGTGGTATTGATGTCCAACAAGTGTCTTTGGTTATCAACTATGATTTGCCTGCTAACCGTGAAAACTACATTCACAGAATTGGTCGTTCAGGTCGTTTTGGTCGTAAGGGTGTTGCTATCAACTTTGTTAAGAATGACGATCTCAAGATTTTACGTGATATTGAACAATACTATAGTACACAAATTGATGAAATGCCCATGAATGGTAAGCCATTGAATACTTCTTGATTGCAAACTAACACCCCTCATTTTCTTATAGTCACTGACTTGATTTAATAAATTGTATGTCCCTTCTCTCTAGAATTGTTTATAGTCTTCAAAAAGAATCAATAATAATAATAAAAGAACAAATTCTTAAACATATTTGCATAAAGAAGACAGATTTATTATAGTCAAGAGACAATTGCTTAGACGACAGTACCAGAAGCAGAAGCAATACGAGGCCACAAATCAGCACATTCCTTGGCAACAGGACCAGTGATAGCACTATGCAATGTGAGTAAATTCTCATAAATCAATAGAATACGTTACCTGCCCTTCATTTCACCCTTGGGGTTAACAATGACACCAGCGTTATCCTCAAAGTAGAGGAAAACACCGTCTCTACGGCGCCAGGCCTTACGTTGACGGACAACAACAGCAGCCAAAACCTTCTTTCTCAATTCGGGCTTACCCTTCTTGACAGTAGCGACAATCATGTCACCACAACCGGCAGCAGGGAGTCTGTTCAAACGACCCTTGATGTTACGGACAGCGATAACGTACAAGTTCTTGGCACCAGAGTTATCGGCACAGTTCATGACGGCACCAACAGGCAAACCGAGAGTCATACGGTACTTGGTTCCGGAAACGCTAACTAGACAAAGCTGTTAATATATGACAAGTCGACTATCATAAGCTTGCAAAATCCAGAATATAGTTTGGGTATATATAAATATATAGTGTGCTATCCATAAGGCAATTGTCATCCATCCATCCATCCATCCATCCATCCATCTATCTATTTATTGATTTATTCTAGCTGATTCAAGTTGATGGATGTATCTCTAATCTCTATACGGTTTGCATCCATCATCCAATCCAATTCCAAGTCATCTTTTCTCTTTCTCTCTTTCTCTCTCTTTTATCCATCTTTTGTTTTCTTTAATCGAATAGACACACATATATATCCGCATACAATACAATCTGAATAGAGCAAGCTTATGATATATCAAACGCACCTTTAGGCATTGCGCAGAGATACGGATGAGAGAGGAGGTTTGTCTGGATTCACTTTTGCTTCTGATATTCAAGATGAGCAAGCTTCGAGAAAATTAAAAGTCCGGGTAGCTATAACTGTCCGAGCCGGAACAATGAAAGAGGATCAAGAACTCTCCTTATCTCTTTCTTAACATACAGCTCTCCAAAAAATCCAACTAAGCTTCCTTTGATGATAGAGCTACATATTATAAAGAAGTTAATGATGTTTAGAGATCAAAATACTGACTTGAATAAGCCCATAGTATGATATCAGATATTAATTCTATTTTAAGGTTGCATCAGCCTTTATTTCCGTACTTTCTTTTAAAGCCCTTATTGTTTATCTCATTATTTGGCAATTGTAGCACACAAGTGGCAATCATACGTCATTTGAAAGATATATATATATATTCTAAATTTTAACAAGCAGTGTTACCAGCCAATTAAAAATGAGTTTGTTGTTGAAGCAATTACCACTCACATTGATTACTTGGCGCATCTTTTTCAGCTTGTCTAATGCCAAAAGATAAAAATATTCATATGGGAGAGGCAAGCATAAAACGTAACTATGTTCAATATTACGATGAGATTTTTGATTCGAAGGCTAAAAAGTATATGAGCGCATCAGCTGCAGCAAAGCAATTGGGTATTGTTCACATTCGGACTGCTCAGAACTGAACTAAGCAGTATAACATGTATCCTGCTAGTATTTTTGAGGTTTGCAAGCAAGTTAGTGTTTTAACCAAAGAGCATAAAACGGCTGTTGTCAACTTTACTGTTGCTGAAGTGACTGGGGATTTATCGAAGCAATTCCATGATATAAAGCCTTATTTTATCACAGCCAACAATGCAGCGATAAGCATTGAACTTATTTTGGAGGTGGTCCTTAAAAATCTGTTTTCAAAATACAACATCATATTACTAGTCGTCGAAATTCTTAGTGCGTGTAATGAAAGTGGAAGAAAGCCAACGATGGTCATGATTGGCGTCTTTGTTGTTTTTAGGTGCAATGCAGCAATGATAGAGGATAATGTGGCTGTGTAGCCAGTCAAAGGAAGTAAAGCAGAAAAGTTTGAGAAATTGCCTGAAAACCTTTGTCAATCTCTGGTAACTTATGGAGGCTGTATCATCCATGTGGATGATACATCTTGCCATAAGCGCCGAATTAATCTTGTTCCAACTGCAGCAGACAAGAAGGAAACAATTCAGCAATGGCTAGTTTGCAAAGGGTATTTGGAAGAAGAAGAAGGGAGTGTCTTTTCAGAAATGATAAAATAGGCACTTCTAAAAAAGGTCAAAAGCTTGAATATTGCGCCTGTCTAAGCTTGCTATGACGTTGATAAAAGATACAATCACAAGCTGTCAATTACCCCGCCTTATCACTGTGAGCTACAACTAATTGAAAAGGTTTGGTCAATGGTAAAAAACCTAATAGCTTTTCATCGAGACCTAAATGAGATGGCTAAAAAACTCAAGAAAAAACCTGACACTGGGCTCAAGAGTATTCTGGAAAGAAATTTCCTTTTGGTTTGGAGAAACTTTATTGAAAAGGCGAACGATAAATGCTTGATACAATGCGTAGTTGAAGAGTCTGAGGAGGAGGATGAAGATATTCAGACGACTTCTTCCTGAGTTTGAATTTGTAACATATTGATTCTATTTTTCCTTTCAATTCTTTTACATCACCCATCATTCCCACAACATTTAATTCCATCAACGCTCGCTTCTAATTTCATCAAAAATTACCGCAACTCATTGTTCATGTCCTATGCAACTCTATCGAAACACTTGATCAGTTCAGCTTTCCCTGCCCAGTAAGGTACAAGATCTGGTGTTACATTCTCTCCACCTACATCGATCCTTCCCTCATTGCTCCTTCAGTTCACCTTTTGCGACAACTTCTCAACCTTTGCACCACCATCAACTGCACCAATAAGTCTGTATTTCCAACCCTTTCCACACAACAAATCTGTGCTAGTACTATGCGAGGTGTTTGATCTAGCCATTAGAACACTGTCTTTGATAACGTTCCTTTTACTCTCCATTCTATCCTTCCTGTAATCCTTCATCTATTGTCTAGACAATTTGACGAACAAGAAATAATCACATTTGATTGTACCAATCCTTATTACTAGTTAGAAATTTGATTCTTTGCCTTTTCTCCCACTGCTGCACCACATACCACCTCTAGTCTTAACTATCGCTCATTATAACATCTTTAGGACTTCAGATAAAACAAAAATATAGTTCTCCTATAAAGAAAAACTCTTTATCATTATTAAAAACGGAGCGGGATAAAACATTCTGAATATATCTCCATCCCTAAATCATTGTTCTGGAGCGAAAAAAAAAGCTACTCGTACCATATTTAATAAGCTCTAATCAAAGTTACACACATTTGGTACCTCAAACACTATTTTTTTATAGCTCTTTTTTTTGCTGCAGTTTGTGGTCGATAGACATTCCCTGTTCATACTAAAGAAATAAAAGCAGTTGGCTTTGTGTACTGTTAAAAACTTGAAACTACAAAAAAAAAAAAAAAAAAAAAAAAATACGGAACAATCCATTATCCGGGCTGTTGTTTAAAAAAAGACAATTACTGTTTGTCATACTTTATTGTTATAATGGATTAGAAAAGTTATTAGGCGATGTATATAAATGAAAGAGAAAAAAGGGAGATGAGTATATAATAATATGTTTACAGACTTTTCAAGCATGCAAAACAAAAAGGAGAGAGAGAGAAAAGGTATTAAATATATGCAAATGCGAAAAAAAAAGATACAGTGATTGGATTTTTTATAAAGACTTGACCAAGATTCTATACACCAAAGCATTTCTTCTTTGTTGATAACATGGTAGTCAAATCTATCCATAAAAAAAGTGTACAAAAAGTCCAATCATGATGATGAATAACAAAAAGCATCTAACCCATTTATTTGGGGACCTCGCTGACTTTAAGAAGCAAAGTGTCACCAACTTCGGAGATAGCTTCTAATGCTCTATCAAGATCTTCCTTTGTATGCGCAGAAGAGACACAGAAACGTGCACGAGAAGTAATGATAGGAGTAGCAGGATAGCCTACAACAACAGTAGCAATACCGCGCTTCAAGAGCTCACGAGAAAAGGCGGGAATCTTGGCAGGGTTAAACAACAAGAGAGGGACAACAGGACTACCTTGATCACCATACACAATGAACCCCATTTCTCTTAAACGTTCAATAAAGTAAACGGAATTCTCAGCCAATTGCTTGATTTTTTTGCGACCAATGTCTGTACCATCTTCGCCACAAATAATCTTCATGGAGGTAATGACTTGTTGAGCAACTGGAACCGAAATAGGCTCAGCATAGTTATAAGCATGGTTACGCGTACGTAAGTGATCGATAATGGCTTTGTCACCAGCAATGTAACCACCTGCTGCACCAAAGGATTTGGTAAATGTGCCCATAAGGATATCGACCTCTGCAGGATCAACACCATAAAAATCACAAACACCACCACCATTTTCGCCAAGAGCACCAATAGAGTGGGCTTCATCAACGTACAGATAAAACTTGAATTCCTTCTTGAGTTCAATAAGTTCCGGAAGGTTAACAACAGTAGCTTCCATAGAATAAATGCCTTCAACGATCACCAAGATCTTCTTCCAAGGACGATGTGTACGAGGTTGGCCTTGAGAAATGACTTCACGTAAAAGTTCACGAAGATCATCCATGTTATTATGTTTGAACACACGAACAGAAGCACCAGAGAGACGAACACCAAAGACAATAGAAGCATGGTTCATTTCATCAGAAATCACAAGACAGCCTTTGCCAACAAGACCAGGGATAGTCGTAGAGTTAGTGGCAAAACCCATGCTGACACACATGGCATCTTCTTTACCAACAAATCGAGCAACCATTTGTTCTAATTCTTGGGCATGTTTGGTAGTACCAACTTCTGCACGAGAACTAGCAGCAGTGATACCTAAATCTAAAGTAGCTTGTTCTACAGCATCAGCACAAGGGCCTACGTTGTCAGAGAAGCCGAGATAATTGTAGGAAGCAAAGTTGAGTGCTTCGGTTGTTGTGCCAGTCAATCTAAATGTCTTGTTGAAATCATTCGATACACGGTCAAGTAGTTTCACTGTTCTAGATGCAACACCAGTGATAGGGCGATTAAAACAATCACTATGTAACAAGTAAGAATTCTGTATCACAATATATTGCATTCGCATACCGAATTCTAAAGTAAAGACGGCGCGTATAAAAGGAGTCAAAATCAGAAACAAGAGGAGCATAACCCTATGATTTGTTAGATAGGGTATTACCATCAATGACGACTTACTTGATTCATTTTCAAGTGAGCATATTCTTGGGGCTTAAAAAGTTTGCCGAGAATGTCTCGCAAGTGACCAAAAAGGATAAGAACAAAATAATTGAGATATGTGCAGACAAGAACATAAAGAGGAGCGGCTTCCATTTTATGCTCGAGATCATCATATTTCATTTTGGGCTTGCGGGGTGGTTGCCATCTCTCGGTGCTGTTATTGACAAAAGAAGATGTCTGCTCAGAGGTCGACTTCGAAAGCGAGCCAATAAAATTAGAGGGAGCATAGGAGTGATCCGAAGAAGACTTGGGTATAGTCAAATTGATGCTGGGAATACTAATTGTGTGAGCTCTTTTGCCTTTACCCATTTTTTTTATATCTTCTTTTATGCTTAAGAAAAAAAAAAAGAAAAGAGAAATAAAAATAAATAGGATCGAATTTATGATTTAAAAGATTTAGACTCAGAATAAGATTGAAGGATATACATGCCGAATCATTTCGGCGCCCTAACACAAAGTTATCAGTGAGGCTTATTTATTTACAGTTTAAATGATCTTATTTCTTAGTTCAACAGCTCTTTCATACAATTCCATATCTAGAGTATTTACAGAACGAATAATTCTAGCATGAATGCGTGTTATGTCAGATGTCTAATGTATTTTAGCACAAGTTCTATAAACTTATCTTTACCTTCTTTTCTATTTCACCTAAACATTGAACAACGTCTCCTTCCGGCAAAATGGTTTGATCTTGAGCCTGACTAATATCAATTTCTACTTCTATATCATTGTATTGGATCACTGCAATACTTTTATCCGCATCATATCTTGTCCAGCTAGAAAAAAGAAAGGAGAAAATGATATAAGCAAAAAAAGAAGATAATAAGAACAGATACCTTACATGCCTGTTACTCTAACAGATTCACCTACTTGACAGCCACTTAGATCCTTAAGTAAGACTATTTTAGCAGAGGGCACTTTTGACATAGTGAGAGGAGGGTAGAAAAAAAGGGGCCTGAACACAAAAAAAAAAAACGAAAAATAAGAAGCTTTGTGACGTGCCATTATGTAATGCATAAAGGTAATGCGATGGTGATGCCATTCCTAGGAGAATAACATATAGGAGCAAAATGCCTTGTCGCAAAAAGAAGAAAGCCTCTTCAGTTAAGACAGACTACAATTTAACTTCTACTTATATGCATATTTTATGCATACTACATGTTTATGCAAAGCTATTAGTAAATACAACATGTAAATTAAAGAAAGCTTGATGCTGACAACCTTTTTTTTAATGCGCCTAAAGTCTTCCAGTGTTTTAAGGAGATAACGTCTTGATACATCATCTCTTATTCTTATTTCTTTATCTAAAGAAACTGCATGTATAAAATAGAGAGACAAAGAAAAGCATTATTACTTTAATAGTAAAAAACAGGAGCTATTCTGCACCATTGTATTGTTTTCTATACGCATGATTCCCCTATATGCTTTTCAATTGATGATAAAGAACAATTTAAGAGGAAAAGGCTCAATATGTTACGTAAAAATGACTACTTTTATTGTTCTTGAAGGCTTTGTTATTAAACAAATGTGTATATATAAAATGATAAAAATAGATAAAGGATAGGAATGATATATATGTATATGCAAAAAAGCATAAAGAATTAGGGTTTGTTAATTATACCGCCTCCCGCATTAGTGCTACTCATTGTGTTTGAACTAGTAGAAGAGCCTTGAGACTTCTTGCGAGACTTTTTTCGTAAAGACATTTTGAGCGTACGCGACAAGCTTTCTGCTCTTGACATGGTTGCGTTTTCGAATGCAGTAGAATGATGAAAAGGTGTTAAGCCCGGAGACATAGGATCTGCTACAGGCGTGCGAATAGAGAAGGCTCGACTAATGGGCGACATAATAGGCAATTGTGGCAGAACAGGTGTATTTCCAGTACCAGGTATTTGTACTGTGGTTGCAATGCTGCCTTGTCGAGAAATCACAGGTGATGTCAATTTGAGGTCTTCAAATGCTTGCTGCTGCACTTGCGGCTGTTGTGGTGGTTGACTATGTGTACTACTGCTCTCAGTTGCATTGCTTGACAATGTAGAACGGCGGCGATTGTTGGCTTGAGTTACAATTGAAAGAGGCTGTTTTTCTTTTGTTTCTTCTTGATGTTTGATTTCCTTGATGGACTTGATCTCTTCAGCAAAATTCTTGTGGAAAACTAGAGAAAGATTTGATTAGGAGCCTCTTAAAGTCGAGTTTACTTACATTCTGTCAAGGTTGTATGGAATGGTCTCATCTCATTGCTGACAAGTCTATTATGAGTTTCTAAGCATTTTTGAATAATTTGCACCTATAAAACTGTCAATACAATTCTTTCTATTATACCTTTTTTTCTTTTTTACCTGATCATGAATAGCCATTTGGAGTCGATGAATCCAAGGATGCAGTTCAGGATTCTTATCCCAATACTCTTTGGTCAAGAATGCCCTCTTATATAAAGGAACACCGCCGTTTACAGGTGCATCTACGGCACCATTCAATGACATAGAAAATGGGTTGATATTGATAGGTTGATTCAATCCTAGTGTATGGCGATTGCCTTTGGGAATATGAATAGCATACTTCTTTTCTAGTGAGACCAGTTCCTTGTTCTTGTTTTCCATGGCTGTCACTGCATTTTCAATAGGCGAAATAACACGGGCATGGGAGCTGATGATCTTGGAGCGTCTTACAATGGTAGGAAATTTGTCTTCGCAAACGAATTCGACTCTTTCGGTCCAAAGGTTTAGAATGTCAGATTCAGGCTTATCTTCAAAAGACTTGTCAGTTATTTCCTGGTCTTTAACAACTGGATGAGAGAAGGAGAATCTGTTTACATTGTTAAACGAATAGTATTTTTTGATACTTTCAGGCGCATTAGGATTAGAGAGACAAGGTATTGAGTCTATATCCGGTATAGGGGTAACAGGTGTAATTTGAAGATATTGACCATCCAACGTACTATCCAATTCCTTAAGTTGCTCGTCTGTAATAGACAATGAGTTTGAAATCTTGCTAGGAAGCAATTGTGCATTTGGATGTCTGTTCTGCATTCTTTCGACAAAGGAAGAAATCTTTTCCCACTCAAGACCACGATAGATGTATTGGCGATTTCGATTGCTTGCAGGGAAACCGCGACCATAAAAGCCCACACGAAAGTATTCTGTATAACATCGTTCTTTCTTGACAATATTTTCAGCCAAAGATGCTTGGCGTTGTAAAATATCGCTTAGCTTGGTATAGTTATACAAAGTATTTTCATACTCGTATGCCAATTCTTTGCATAATTCAACACACAGCTCCCAAGCACTACCTTGATCTAAATAGGTGATCATTTTCATATAGAGAGCTTCTTTTCGGCTGAATGAACTTTGAACAGGTAAACCAAGTTCTGGAATACTATTGAGTTTATCGCTAGGATCCCATTGAAGTAAATCAGCATGAAAGCGCAAAGTCAAAGCAGCTTCGATGAAGTTACGACTATCCAGATGCAATTGAACTAGTTGATGGACGTATTTGATGTAGATTTCTTCACGCTCAATTACTTGAATAAACTTCATGATCTTGAGTGTGGCTGTGATATGCTCGTCCATAAATTCATCATTGCCTGAAGGTAAACTTCTGATTTGAAGCAACAGACTCAAGAACCGACAGATGGAGTCTACAGCCCTTTTACCAGCGATCAAAAGGTCTCTTCTATCATCAATTCGAAGTCGCTTTTCGATCGCTCTTGTCAGTTCTATAGTAATTTTGCCACAAATGATATCATCACCTTTGTTTTCGGATATGACCAAACGATCAAGTGTGCTAATCAAAGCATGTTGAACATGGCATAGTTCACCAAAAGAGTAGAGTTCAATAGCAATGATATCAGCAATTAGAGACAATGCATTGGTTCTAACACGATCATGTAGTGTCAAAGAAGCAGAGCATAATGGGCTGAGTATAAAGAAAGCCAAGTCTGCTTGCAAGAAAGATACCTCAGACTTTATCAAACCTTCATCATTCAGCTGTTCTTCATGAATAGAGGATAGAGGCACTTCATCTGTTGGTCCAATACGTACACTATGACGCATAGAATAAGTACTGGTTGAAGGCGCAGACGAAATATGACTATTTCTGTTTGTGTTATGCATATTTTCGTCATCTTCTACTTCTTCAATAGATGTCATACTTTTGCGTAACGAATCATCAAAGTAACTATGCTCCAGAACGGCAGAAGACAAAGGAGAATGATTCATAAACGAACTCATACTAAAGTCAGAACCAAAGTAATCTGTCAAAATTTGCTGCTGCTGAGACAGTGTCTTGTTATTGCCATTTTCGCGGTCCAAATGTGCTTTGCCAGCCAGGTTCCAAAGGTATGAAATCAATTTTGCACCCACTTCACCACGCATGTTGCCAATGATCTTCCAAACAGCACGTTGTACTTGAGGCATGAATTCAGCTACTTCTAATTTTGGACTTCCAACCACACGTAAAAGACCAACAAAGTAAATGCGCCAGAGCAATAAAGTTGAGCGTTCTTCAGCAATGACATTTCTGAACCGAGGCTGCTCATTATGCTCCTGCTGCTCTTCAATTTCCTCCACTAATACTTCATCATCATCCTCCATATAAGCTTTTTCATTTGGCATAAAATCAGGCAAATCAAATACAGCTTTCATTGGTTCCAAAATGTGACAAAGAACAATTTGATAAGAAATAGCACTGAGGTTTAACCAGTTGTTGGGCAACTTCCTGTATTCGCGAGTTTCATCCTGTTCACATCGCATCATACCATCCACTGTCAAACTTGATTCTTCTAAAATCATCACATTATCACCAAACAAAATACCCATACAAGTATAGATGACTTTTCGTAAAAATTCTGCAGTGTCTTCCACACCGTTTTGTTCGTACATTTTGCGAATAAATGTAGCCCATTGTTGTTTAGGAGTCAAGTAGAACAATTCGAGTAAAACGACTGTTAAGTCCAATAGACCGGTACTAATCATGGCTGCATGGTCGCTCGTTAGTCCACCTCTTGTTGAGTTCAGTGAAGATGTAGAGGCAGCAATTGAAGGTGAAGAAGAGGGGGAAGAAGCAGCAGACGCATTAGACGTAGTTCCAGCAGCAGTTCCAGCTCGAGAGGATGTCTGGAATGGATAGGTGCTAGGAAAAGGTGTTGTAGGCGATGTAGCCAAAGCTTGTAATATCACTGTAAACTTGGACTGATTAGATTCATTTCCTAAAGGCCCGTTTGAGGTCACGACACCTGTAGAAGAAATACCAGGAGCAGTTGTTGGCATTGTTGTGATAGTACCACCGCCGCTTACAGAAGCTGCCTTGTGAAGCTGTGTACCTTGAACCTCTTGCAAGAGATCAGAAGACATAAATGGATTTTTACTAACGCTACCATTTGCAGATGCATTGCCTAATGAACTAGATCGTTCTCTCAAGATACTAAATGATTGACGAGAAGCTGGTCTAAACTGAGCGGGATTGAGCGACGCAGTAGAAGCATTATCATGCATCGAAGGCGAGGTGGACACATGAATAGCTTGGATTGTCAGACGTTGAATATCCTTGTAAGCATTCAATAATTGTGGTACCAGTTGGAGTGCAACTTCCGTGATAGCACTGAGATCAGATTGAGAATATTCATGTCGATTTTCGTCTTCAATGATAGTAGCAGCAAATGAAGTAGGTCGAGAATAATTGCTGAATGAAGGCGATGAAATGCAAGAAGCAGTGAGACCTGAAGTTGCCATACCAAATGATTTTCTCACTTTCTCTAGCAATTCAATGACAATTGTAAGTGACAATCTCAAGTTTTCAATCCATTGAGCGCGAGGCAGACGTGTTTGTTGAGGATTCAAATTTTCTGAATGTTGTTGCTGTTCTGCTTGTCTTGCAAATATGACATCTTTAGCAGTTGACATGTAAGAATTGATCCAAAGACGAACCCATCGAAATACATGTTTTCCAAATTCCAAGCGTACAGAAGGATCATCAAATGTAGAACTCTTGACCATACTAAGGATCATAGCCAACTTAAACCCAACAAGACGACCTGTCACATGTGAGCAAGCATCCACAAAAGAGACCGCTATCTCCAAAACCTGAGACGGCAAAAAGATAGTTCGTAGCTCAGACAAAATGTCTGCAAAGTGTTGTAAAGTCAATGTTTGTGTACCAATCATGGCATTGGGTTGGTCAGGACTCATGATAGACGTGATTGTCTTGAGCAGTTTTTCAAGTTGCTGCCCAAATATAGGATCATTTGTAGTTCGCTCATCATCATCTTCCTTTTGCTGTTGGTTTAATCTTGATCGCACAATAAAACGGAACAAATAATCCCATACTTTCATACTACTACGCAACAGCTTGGCCTTTGAGGGATCACTAGGGTTTTCACATAAGCGAGACAAACTCCCCACTAAATGCTCATATGTTGTTTCCTGTAATCGATAGCTGTAGTTTTGAACCTGTTGTCTATCGTTGTTGCGCATGGACAGATGCTCATAGTCTTTAATTGAAAACCGATTTTCAATATACACATCTAGCACTGGTCTAAAGTTGCTAAATCGACGATCTTGAACGATACCCAATAACCAAATGATGGCTGCTAGTACTTGGTCATTGATTTCGTTGCACACTGAATTGTCTTCATCCTCATCGTCATATTGATATGCCAGAATGTCCAATAAAGCATCAAAAATATCACCTAAAAACTTGACAACTTCAACTTCACCCACAAATGTGAATTGATCCAACACCGACAACAGTTCATTTATGCCATCTTCAGACTCTTCAATTAATGTGCGCCAATTAAGTAATTTAACCAATGTCTTGTTTTGAGTGAATTTGTTGGAACACAAAAATGTGGACAGTGTGATTGTATCACGCAAAGAAGTCAGTTTAGTGTTACTAGCTGATCCAGATGACTGAGGCAGTGAAGTTTCACTACTGTTTGCAGTTGGACTCGTAGGCTTATGCATCGTAGATGTAGCTGAATGAAACGATCCATTCATGCTTTTAAAACTATGATTCGACTGTGTGTGTTGGTGGCCCGATTTGCTATTGTTATTGTTACGATAAAATCGTGAGTTTGACTTCACATCAAAAGTAGGCTGAATCATATTGGAAGGAGCAGTAGATCGAACACACCAAGGTGTATTATCAAGATAAGACTTTGGCAATGAGGTTTGACGATCGTATTTGTACAAGTAAATTGTATGAGACCCATCTGCTACAAAATCACGATGGTATGGAGGTAGAAACAAAGGCAAGAATCCCATGGCAATAATTTTTTCTCCCCCGCCTGTTGTAGATGATACTACTGATGTCGTGCCTCCTGAGACTTCTGGCGCTGAACTACCGCTAAATTTGAGCACAGAACCTGATGTATTTGTAGTAGAATTGATATGGTTGCTACTACGGTGCTTAATGGTCAAGAACACATGCGAACGTTCCCATTGATTTACGTCTTGGATATGAATCTTGATCTGTTCGCCCCATTTAGGTTTTTGTTCATGATACATGACCATGCTTTCCCAATAGCTCACAGATCGTGCTCCAGAGCCTGTGGAAATCGCATTTTCAACCACTTCGCCAGTTTTGTTGTCACGTACACACATAGTCACTTGGATGTTCCGTGAACGAGTGAACTGGCTCAAATCACCCGAATCCAGTTTGATGTAAAGTTCATTTCGACTATCATTTGGAAAAGCAACGTCTGCAAATCCTAAGCGCAATGTATGCGGCACTTCTTGCAATAAAGCTGTATTTGTCTTGAGTACTTCATCCAGAAATCCATAGAATATGCGCAAAGACACTCGCAGCGTCTCTGCTCGAGGATGCTTTGCAAATTCTTTCGTGTTGTTAAAGATAATGTCCTCGTGCAAAGTGGCATATGTGGCTTCAGATATCGCAGTAAAAATGGGCATATCGTGTTCAAGCAGGTCTGCTTCCTTTTGTATCTGGTTCTGAGGTGACAAAAGACCTGTCAACTTGAGCACAGCACAGCCAAATGGCCTTCGAACAGATGTTGACATAGACGACTGAGATTGCTTTTGAAGTGTTTGGTGGCTCAAATGTTTATTTGAGTGAAAGAATTGTGAGGTATGACTACCTAGGGTACCAAAATGATCTTTGCTATCATTTAACTTCATGCCACCATATCTGACTATATGACAAATCATGTACAGATTATCTGAGATGTCGTGCAAAGATAAATCGACAAAAAGTGCTTGGATTTTACCAATCTGTGCTTCATCTTTAGGCATACCATTATAGTTGAGAACTACGTTGAACTGCTCGGTCAAAAATTTACGTTCAGTAGCTGAATACAAAGCAAAAAAGAGTTCTGTGAATTCACCTGGTTGGCAGATATGAGCCACACAAGCTTTCAATTCAAAAAACATGTGATAAAACTTGGCTCCTTTTGGCTGTTGGGTTTGTTGAGCTTGCTGAGCTTGTTGGGCCTGCTGGTGAGGCGTATTTTGCAGTATGATTGTGTTGGGTGCCAGATTACTAAAACTGGTATTTGTGGATGCTGCACTTGTTGGTGTAGAAGGCGAGGTGTCTTGGGCACTAGTATCTTCTAAAGCAATTGGCGTGTTTTCAATTGTACCCACATTAGCACCGGAAGAACAAGTATTCTTGGAATGCGTTGCATACTTGTAGTGCATCTTATAAATACTACTTAATGAGGCATTTGTAGCGTCCAACAAATACCCCTTCTCTGGATGTCGAATGATCATTTCCTGTTGTTGTTCCAAATTAGAAACAACCATACGGTGAATAATCTCCTTTCGCAGTTTTACTAATTCCTCCCTTGACAATGCTTGATCCAATAACTGCCTTCTTGCTTGAAATAAATAATTGATGTTGTCACGAACAGCATTGAACATATTGTATCGACGTTCACTGATGTAAGTATACAATAGACTATTCCACTCACTAACACATGCTGCGATTTCGTCTACCAAAGGTTCTGAATTTCCAATAATAGTTGACTGCTCAAATCGTGCTAATGGTAAAGGTGGTGGGGGTATATGCTGTGATGCTTCTAAAGCATGATGATCAATATCAAAATTAAGATCGCCAAAACTCCCGGGCCGAGCTGAGGGATGTTCAGTAGAGTTAGATTGGATCCATGATTCTGAGAATGATCGAGGAAGAATAGAGGGCGGTAAAACATCAGATAAGGGACGAATAAGATCTTCGCGTCTTTTCTGGTGTCGTATAGTCGTATTGTCTGTCTCGTCCAGATCGACTTCAATATCCTCTTTGATTTGAACATGTGTTCGAGGAAAGCAGCCTAAAGGTGCTGTGTTGGGCTTTCTTCCTTCTTCTATAGCACAAAGTACATAACCACGATACCATTGTCCTTGTTGTTCAATGATAAAGAGTTCGTCGCCTACTTCGAGCGGAACAAGGTAGGTGTAGTCTTCTTGATTGTGAGAAGGCTGATCAGCAAAACTAGAACTAGATGAGATAGAAGCGTCGTCTTGTTGTTGAGGTTGAGTAGAAACAGGTCTACTATTGACAGGGTTTAATGGCAAAGTTGAAGGATTGAATGGATAGATAGCTATGCCATGAGCTATTTTTGGCAAAGGAAGCCACTTCATATTGTTCTTCTTAATGTGTTTGTGCTTCTGCTCGAGTATATATGTTCTTTGTTTGGAAACTGAGAATTAGCATTTCAAATCCCGTATATGCATTCCATGTTCATTACCCTTTTTTTCCTTTTGGTGGATATGTATGGTTTCTTTTTTTACGAGACCAAGAAAGAAAAGAGAAAAATAGAAAAAAAATAAATTAGTTGTATATAAATAATTATATATCTCTTTTTATATATATGAGATAATAATGCTGAAATCTTGTAGCAATAAAGAAAGAGTAGGGAAAGGAGAGGGAAGGGAAAGAAAGAAAACAGAAATGGAGAAAGAAAAAGAGGTAAAAGAAGAGAAATACATATGATTGTTTTATTTGATGCTACACAATTGTAAGACTTGAATTTTGAGAGTATTTTAGTAACTTTTTTGATTGCATGTCGCCTCGGTTGGTTCCGACTCAACTTAAAACAGAGCTCCTCTCTCTTTCCCCGAGCCGCACCTTACTTTCATATTATGACAAGAAACATACTTTTTGGGGGAGCTTTGGCTTAAGAGGCATGTATATCTTATTTTCTGTCGGTTTTAGGAATATCATACCCTTTTTGAACGGATGGTCTGATTGTTAAATCATTTCATTCAATTAAGGAAGAATCCTCGACCTGCATTAACTTGCGGGCTTGATCTAGATAGATTTGCAGGTGTGTAACTCGTTTCTTCAACTTCTTCAGTCAGGCTATTTCCTTAAAGCTATCGCGGGTGGTGAGAATCACAGTTTCTTCTTTATGGAGCTAAAGAAACCTGATGCGCAATCTTCACAACTGTTCAATCATGAAGTGGTGATTTAATGTATAATAACTTCAGTTACATAATAAACTCTTCCACTATAAATACACATAAAAGAGCCTTTTGTATTGAAACCCTCCCGTTCAAAAGACTTCGCTTGTGATTTAGATGAAACAAGTAAGGAATGCATTATCAGCATTACTGAATTGAAAGCAAGCGATACAATTCAAAAAAAAAGAAGAGCCCATCTTTACTCTTCTCTTTCTCCTTTTCTACTCTCGGAAAAAGTCAACTATAATATCTTATATTGGATTAAAAACAATGCTCAAAAGAAACAGGTATAACTTCTGTTGTATTTTCAAGTATTGCAGAAAACAGTATCTAGTATTCCAAGATTTATTTCAAGGCGACTGTCCAATCCCATTTTTGCCAATCCTTCATGAAGGCTTCTTGTCTTGCTGGATTGTCTTCAATATAATGATGTTTAGGTCTACGCCATAATTCAGGCCCAATATCCATCATGCCTGCTACAATTTCTTTGCCAAACCAATAGGGAAATCTTTGAGCATTTTCAATAACATGACCATAACCTTTGTCGAGACCAAACCAAACATGAAAATAAGGCAAGTTTTTTACCATAGAATAACGAAAGCCTTTGCTAGAAGTATCAATCAACTTTTTGTGCTGCGACCATTCTTCATCAGATCCCATAATGCCTTCTTTAAAGTAAGCAGGTGCATCTTCATAGACTCCGTATGGCACTGGTATCACCTCAATAGCAGTATGACGCTGTGAACGAAGATTGACTACTGTTTCCATAAATATACAGCCTTTGTTTTGTGCATGGAACATTTTCATTAAACATTTTTGAAAGTTCTACTACAAGTCAGATTTCTCTCTTATTTGTTTTTCTTTTGAAATACATACTCTCACTTCTGTCCAAACATCATCGTCGCATTCTAGCATAGAAGAGACATGCTGGAGAGGCACAATTAAGCAGTTTCCGGGAGTGATCTCATGTACACCTGGTAAGGCTAGGTAGCATGTCGTTGCAAGCGAAATCATACACATTTGGGGAGGCCTATTATCATGATAACAAAACTTGCACTTTCCCAGTACATCTTGAGTACGCTTGTAATCTGATACTGCACGTCTCATCTTCTGTTCTTCTGACATTCCCTTTTTAGAGGCCATTACATCAGCCTTTTCATCCATATAGTCCAAGTTACTCTATATATATATATTACATTAGCATATATAGGCCATGAATAATGTGTTCTTTACCTCAAATGCTTGATCAGCAACAATACGTTTAGCAAATTCCAAATCCATATCAGAGGTAGTTCGGCTACCTCCTTTTTCTTGTCGTATCATTTCCGCCAATGTCAATGTATCATCAGATGTTCCATAGCGTAGACGTTCTCCTGTCACTTTATCGTGTGTGCCTTCAAATCGTTTTTTGCCCTTTAGACCTTCACGTCCTTGATTACCTGCATTTAAAGCATAGTCATAAATACGACCTTCATTGTCAAATGTTGGAAGAACAGTAATATTTGAATTTTCGGTTTGTTCAAAACGGTCTAGTTCTGCTTGGTATTCGCGTTCAAGCTCTTCAACATTATTTGCACCCATGAGTTTGGCTTTGACAAGTTTGGCGTTTAACTTGTTGAGTTGGTCGCGTGTCAATGCAGTAGAAGCAGGTGGCGTTGAAAGCATAGGTGTCGCAGGAATGGATGATACTGGTGTTACTGTTGCTTGTGGTAGAGGTATCGATGGAGGAGGGCTACGAGGACGAGCTGCAGGCGGATCGGGGCGTCTAAAAGATTTCTTTTGAGTTTCTGTATCATTAAAGACATATCGACGTGTTGGCTTTTCTTCGCCCCTTCTATGACTTCTGCCTGCTTTTTTATTATCTAGATACTCTCTTTCATCTAATGCTTCCTGAAACCTTTCAGCAGACTATATAATCATTTAGAATACTTTTTATATAGGCTTGACAACTTACACCATATTTCTCTATACCAACTTCTTGTAGTGATCTTGCTTCGTCTTTTGCTTGTTCCATAGTACGCTTTAGCTTCATCATACGCCAGTTGGATCCTGCATCACCAAACTTGATTGTTGGTTTCTTTTCTTCAGGGTATTGATCGGCTTTGAGGCCTTTGACCAAATGTTGGTTCAATTCTCGTTCGCTTACTTTAAACTAAAGGGAGGATCAGTAATTAGAGTAGCATATCACTATGCTCACCTCATCTGGGTTAGGCTTTGGCTTATCTTCCTCTCGTACACGTGCAGTACCCATACTACCAAAATCAAAACCACCTCCTAACATCCAACCATGTCTAGCTTCTTGTTCTTGAGGTAATGACAATTCGTTTGTATCTACTGGTTGGTTTCGAGCTTCGGTTGCCTGCTGGATATTTCGAAGGTGTTCTGCAGGTGTGATTTCTTCAGCTCCTCCACCTGCTTCAACCCATAGTGAGGGATCAGAGTAATCGATCTCAGTCTCTTCCTTATGTCTACTGCTGATCTTTTTATGCTTCTTATGATCCCGTTCGCTGCGAGATTCCTTATGCTCTCTCTTTTTTGAAGAAGGCTTCTTTTCTTTCTTATGCTTATGGTCGCCCATGGATAGACTAAAGAAAAAAAGCTGAATTATGCTTTCATTGCAGAACATGACTGCTTGTTTCTTGAGCAAGTCACTATCGTATAAAATGATGCCATTGAAGGAGCAAAGTAAGATGAAGACTAAGGCGTGTAACAAAGCTTTAATTGAGTGAATATGTGTGCTTTACATTTGCTCTTGTGGCCTTGCTTGGATATCTACTATTACCCGTTATATCAACAAAAAGCATACAAGTCTAATGATTTTTTGTTGAACCCACTTCTAGCACTTTTTTGAAGCGTCTATTATATAAAAAGATAGTAAGCCTTTAGAAGGCTAATTCCTGCCATTTTTGAATTGATAGCTTTAGTTTGTCAATCAATATTAAATTGCCATTCAAAATAATATCAAGATATCTGGCTGTCTTTACAGATTTGTAGACATTGAAGATCTTTTATGCCATGCCATTATAACACCGGTTTTCAAAATAGCTTATGATTGTATTATTTGCTACTGTGTCTCTAGTTTTCTGAGGCATTGTGCGCTTTCACAAAATGTCTATATGCGGAGATCGAAAAATAAGCAACACCAATTCTTGACCGCGTCAAAAATCAAACTTTTCCACCATGAACCCCTCGAACACGGGGCGTCGTCAACCTGAAAACACTACAAAGACCTGGTCACAAGTTGCTGCTCGAAGCATTGTGTCCTGGCGTAGCCCTTCGCCTAGCACGAACACTCCATCAGCCACTAACTACACAACCTCCTCATCTAACTCTGGATGGGCATCAGCCCTAGATGTTACTTTTACCAGCACTATCACACCTTTTGTTGTTGGGCTGGAACAAGATAGTATCTTGATCGACATCACCAAAATCCGAGATGTTAACCGCCTGAAACAGTTTTTGGGATCTTAAAATGATGCAAACACCTATCATTTTTTCGGCACCCTGCTTGTAGAGCGAAAATACTTGCAACGCAGATTCATCGAAACTTGCTGGGACCTTGAGTCCCCCATATGTCAGGCATTGTTGAACGAAGGATTAACTCTTGATGATAAAACAGTAATTAAAGGTTATCGCAGTCTTCCAGCAAACGCAAAGATTGTCAGAGTAAAGGTTGAGCGCCTTCCTTTGTTCATCCCCTACGTTTGCGTGAACAAATGGTAGAACGTTTTTCCCATTTCGGTGAAGTCTTGGATGCTGGGCTTCACATGGATAGTAGTGTCTTTTTCGGACAAGGCTATGTAGTCCTTAACCTGAACAAGCCCCATCCTACCGACCCTCAAACTCTTAGCAGAGCTATTGACTGGGTTGATAAAGAGAGAGATATTCTTCTTACTTGGGACGAAATGCCCCCCTTCTGTCGTTTCTGTCAAAAGTATGACCACTGCCGAGCTGATTGCGTTGAATTGACCAACAGCCGCCAATGTTTCAATTGCAACGAACGTAGCCATATAAGCAGGGATTGTCCTCGTAGAAGTCATGGCAATGGGCTTCCACCCAACAAACGTGAAGTTGAGGAAACTATAGTTGCAATGATCGGCAATTCCCTAATGAGACCCGATCAAACTCTTAAGACTAAGCGAAGCAATCAGCCGGTACAAAAGGACAAAATGGGTTTAGGCAATCCTCCTAGTAATTCTCCAGGAGATGAAACTTACACCCAACACTAATTTAAAAAAAATATGACTCAAAAACAGCTACAGATAGCCACACTTAACTGTCGTGGCCTCATCAAAGCGCATGATTCAACAAAACGTTCCTTATTCTTTCGATTTATACGCTCTACTCAATCTGACATATTTTGCTTCCAAGAGACCCATGCCAATTCCTTAAAATCTAAATCTATACTCGATACAATGCTTCAGGCGAAATCCAGTATATGGACTGAACATTGCGGTATTGTATCATTCAATCCCAACTATGCTATTCAACAACATGAAGAGATCACTGCTGAAGACAATAGATGCATCCTTGCTTCTGTCTCTGGCACTCAAGATTCTTCTTCTCCTATAATGTACATCATTAATATTTATGCTCCTGCTGAGAGAACCGGTAGACTCCACTTCTTTAGAAGTTTAGCTGCCAACCAAGCTCTTATGACCCAATTACGTTCTTCCACCGTCCCAACCATCATCGTTGGTGATTCCAATTATGACATTCACAAACAATCAAACATAGACGCAGATTGGGCCACTCTACTGTCTGCACTATACCATAATTGTTTTGAACATGAACTGCTACCAACCTTTGTTGGCACCACCGGTAATCGTAGCCATATTGATTGCATTTTTTGTTCATCACCACATGCATCCAATATCAAATCCATGTCACAATCCTTTGTTAAGTACAGTTGGACGGATCATGCTCTACTGACGATCCATTATCAGCTTTCTTCAGCCGCAATGGGAAAGGGATCCTGGAAGGGTAATCCATTTTTGGCAAAATTGGCTGCTTTTCGAGAGGGTCTTACGGATCACATAACAAAACATATTGAGCAAGAAAACCTACTTGATCCAAACTCTGATAAATCCGCTGAGGACATTTGGGATCAACTAAAAGCACAAGTCAAGTTATACACTCGAAGTTTTCAGTTAGATAGGCTCAATTGGAGAACGAAAACCATTAAGCGTTTACAATCGAAACGAAACAGAATTCTTTGAGAGTATAAAAATGCAGCTATATTGTCGTCTTTGTTACCTTCAGTAGAACCCTTACTTAGTACATTACAAGAAGAGATGGCTGCAATTGATCGGTTGAAAGCAGGCAAAGTCTGGCGTGAAAAAGGAGAAAAATCTGTTGGCTATCTTAAACGATTGGCTACTACTCCTTCTTCTCAAAGGTCAATTCTTGCACTTTGAGACCCTCAGACTCAGACTCTTGTCTCCACTACTGCAAGCCTAACTGCTGTCATGGTTGACTTTTACAAGACTTTGTACAAGCCTGACCGCATCAAGTTAAGGGATGTACGATCATTATTGAGTTCTACCCGCCGGCAAATTACTACTGAGCAAGCATCAACATTAATCAATCCGTTCACTTGGGATGAAATATTAGATGCAAGCAAACGCTCTCCTCGAAAAAGTACCAACACCATCACAATGATCTGTCGAACTATGGACCTTATTCCACGCAATAATTACACATACATGTCTAGCTCGATTGATTATCTTCTGCTACCTCTCTCTGTAGTCGTCCGTCTCTTTACCTCTTATATTTTGTCTCCAAAACTACGGTCTCTTCCTGTTTCTGCTCTATATACCTATCATCCTCAAGGACATTTCCTCCGACCCATTGTAGAGGCTAATATCTCTCGAGATTTGTTCTTTGTCAACCGAAAGTTTCTTAGAGCGGTGAATGATGGTAGATGCCAACTGGAGCCCTTTTTCCAACAATGCCTTGCCCCCTCTTCCCTTGACCTTTACAGTCCTGTCTACGTACCAGCAATCAAGCGCTCTACTGGATTTTACTCTTTTATCCATGCCTTGCACCTATCAGTTACAGATCCTCAATTTGATACCTTTCAATATGCTCGACGTTCTCTTAAAGCCGCATTAGTAAAGGCATCTATGCAGGGATCTGTTGGTCAATCTTCTGTCTCTCCTTCTGCCTGGAAGCTCTTTTGGTGCATGACTTTTACCAGAGTACAGCGTAACACTATTTACCGTTTGCTAACTGAGAAAGTCCCTACCAAACCCCTTCTCTTCAACATGGCTCTTTCCACTGCTCCTACCCCACTTTGTTCCTTTTGTCAAGAAGTTGAAACTGTCTTCCACTTTTTCTTTCGATGCCCCCAAAAATTTATCTTCTGGGATATTGTTATTCGTAAATTTCTTTGGCCTGGTACCTCTATTGATGATATCTCCTCAGCTCTTCAATCCTTAGATTTCAACAAAATCAATGTCAACAATTCTTGTCCGATTGAAGTCGAAACGTTACTTGTCATTGCTCTCTCAGAACTTTGGAAAGCTCATTGGGCTCATATACATCGAAGAGAGCCCTTCCTTGCAAGTATAGCATTCAGTCAAACCCTCCGGGCAGCTGGCCGCCGCGCTGCTGAAGAGACAAATTGTCTTGACTGATTCCTTCATCTCTCCTTCTTCTTTTCATCATTGTTTCGCTTGGTTTTAACTTTTATATAGTCCTTGTCTCATTTTTAATTTTATTTTATCTCTTTTAACTTTATAATAACTCATTGTCGAGCACCTCTTTTTTGTAGCCCTATCGTGCTACAAAATACGTGCGGCAAATAAAATCATTTAAAAAAAATCAAACTTTTGCTTAAAACTGCATGAACCTGCAGTTATTTGGACTTAGTGGTCTAATAAAAGTTGCAGATAATTGACTTATTAATCTTTTAACTTAAAAAACACAACAACTTTGCTAGTAGAATGTCGAGGAAAGAGGCAAAACGTTTACAAGGTTTTTTGCTCATATTTCATTATCTTACTAGTATGATTAGTAAGCAAGCACATTTACCAAAAACTATAGAGTTTGGCACACATTTTGAGTATTCAAGCTTGTTGATAGCTCTATTTTTTGTCATATAGCATCTAAAAAAGACCTTTTTTTTTTTTTAAAAAAAAATGTGTTTATTGATTGAGCCGCGGGTGCAATTAAAATGACAAAATAAAATAAAATAAATATATAGAAAGAAAAAAAAGTTACATGATTGAATGGCATTGATTCTCTTCAATGGTCCAACGAACATTAAATCGGATGCTTACTAATATGGCCGTGGGTACAATGGGGGTCTTGTCAAAGATAAATCTCATATGAGCAAGCCAGATTTGTGAAAGGGTAATTATGAGGATTCTGTATGGTTTGATGCCTTTCCATTAGCAGTACCAGGTGTACGAGAAGTCCAGGGACAGAAGAGCCTCTTTGATATCAGATAGAGGTGGTAGGCCAACGAATAAAAGAAGATCAAGAGTTGTAAAATTGAAAATTTTTACGAGTAGTACCTTTGGACCAAAGGCATATTTCAGCCATTTTAAACATGTCCAAATCAAAATTGGCACACTTTTTGTCACGTTTCTACTTTTAAAAAAGTTGAAGTGAATATTCAAGTATACTATGAAAATGGAAGAGGCGATGTTGTTGATGAGTTTGGAAACGAGCCTACTGAAATAGAGGTCGATGAAGAACAATATCCTTTGGACAACGTCACCAACTTCGATCAATGCTTAGATCTAAAGCCCCCTGAGCGCGAAGCAGTAAAGCGAGAGGAACAAAAAAAATTCAAGCAACAGAAACTTCTGGCAAAGGATTGAATGTTAAGCACAGTAGCGATACCAAGGAGCAATTCTTCTACTTAGTCTATGAAAACGGCCTGACACCTGGTAAAACAGCCTGACACCTGGTAAAACAGCCTGACACCTGGTAAAACAGCCACGCAGCTTAATATCGCTCGGCGTACTGCTTACAACTAGTTTGAGAAAGATCAGAAGGAGCAGAGTGATAAAAAAGAGAAAATCAAAGTTAAGACAGGTCGGCCAAGCAATTTCAACGAAGAGCACCAGCAATTCTTAGAAAAATAGTTTATGGATTTCCCTTCAGCAACCTTAGATCCGGCTATGGAGAGTCTGATAAATGAATTGAAAGATTTGAGAGTCTCTAAGGCTTCAATCCATAGATTCATTACTGAGAAGTGCGCTTTGTCATTTGAGAAAGCTTATTCTCATTCAAAAGAAAGGAACCCACCCTCAAGCATTCTCAAGCGTTACGAATGGGTCCAGAGATGGATTGAAACTGATTTGGACTTCGAAAGTAATTGTGTTTTCGTTGACGAGTCGGCATTTCACATCAACTTGAAAAGAACGATGGCCTGGTCAAAGAAAGGGACTCGTGCGGAAGTTGTTCAACCAACAACAAGAGCTAAAACAACAACGATTCTGGGTGCTATTTCACCTTTTGGCGTTGTTAATATTCAAGTGAGAAGACCAGTAGCGCCTTCAAAGAAAAGAAAAGCAAACAATTCGAAGGCCAAAAAGACGGTTGGTACGGTTACTGGCCATTATTTTAATTTTATTGCCTGTACTCTTGACATTTTGGATAAGCACGAAGAATTCAAAGGGCATTATATTATAATGAACAATGCTCCAATTCAACAGTGGATGACATCCGAAAGTATACTGAGAGTCGTGGCTATGGTTGTGTTTATCTTTCACCTTACTCTCCTGAACTCAATCCAATTGAACAATTTTGGTCAATTGTCAAGAGCAAGTTGAAAAGAGAGTGTCTTTTAGACAATGAGACACTCACCAGTAGAATATCGGATGCTTGCAACGATATTCGCTTTAGCGATTTGAAAGGCTTTTGCAGGTACTCAGCTTCAAAATTTGAAACTTGTCTCAAGAAAGAACCTCTTTAAGTTTGGCACACTTTGTGCCAAATAACCTGTGCTAAAAATTTTTTTTATTTGTGCTCAACTTGAAATTAAAAGAGTGCTACTAGTTTCGGGAAATAGTATAATACGCAAAATACCATTGTTGACGAAACGAAGACCGAAAATGTGATACATGCCCGCCCCTGGTATCGTCGTTTCTGGTAGCCCATCATCATTATTCTTATTCTTGTTATTCAACTCTCCCAACCCCGAAAAAAAAATGAAATTATATTTATCAGCTAGCATTAAAAAGATATGGGGAAAAAAGGGAAAATTTTATTATTGTTATATACTTAAAATAAAGCGTGGCTCAGAGAGCATGTATCACATTAGAGGTCGGAGTGGAGTCAGCTGGGATTAGTTTAGGTACGACAAGCAATTAAAAGATGAGGCGTTACACCAGGGTTTAGCACAAATATAAAAAGAGGGCAACATTGTGGCGGCTTTGGTTTTTCTACTAAAATAGAAAAAATGCCTTTGGTTTACGTTGTTACTGGTGCTTCTCGTGGTCTCGGTCTTGAATTTGTTAAGCAAATCGTTGCTGCAGGCAACCACGTCTTTGCCTGTGCTCGTAATCCTGACAGCTCTTCTGAATTGAGCAAACTAGTCGATAACGAAAAAGTTTATGCAATCAAATTAGATACAAGTAATGAGGAATCCATCAAAGTATGTCTCTTACTTATTAAAAACTGATTTTGACATTCATTTAACATAGGCTGCTGCTGAAGAAATCAATTTCAAGGCACCTGAAGGTGTAGATATTTTGATTAATAATGCAGGTATTGGCGGTCAAATGGGAACTAATTATGAAACTGTGTAAGTGTGATACATTTTTTTCCAAACTTATTAAGAAACCATAGTACCAAACAAGACATGCTCAAGGTATTTGAAACTAATGTCACTGGTGTCAACGAAACAACTAAGGCTTTTGTGCCTCTTCTTCGCAAGCGTCCTACAAAAAAAATCCTTAATATGTCTTCTGTGCTTGGCTCCATTTCAGAAGTTGAAGATAGTACTGGTTCCGGTTTTGGTATTGCTTATGGTGTGTCTAAAACTGCTCTCAACATGTTGACCAAGTTGACTGCCAAACAACTTGAAAGCGAAGGATTCGTTGTCTATGCTTCTCATCCTGGCTGGGTTCAAACTGCCATGGGTGGGCCTCAAGCTCCCCTGACTGCTGAAGTTTCTATTCGCGGACAATTAGCCAAAATTGACAGTTTGACAGTTGAAGATAACGGTAAATTTTATGACTATGAAGGCAAACCTATTGCTTGGTAAATAAACAAAATAGAAAAAAAAAATCAAAAACTTGTGTCAAAAGCGATTGTTAAATTTGTTCTATGATTACTTAAGCGGTCATTTGCAATAGGCTTGTAAAAGATTGAGGAAATTAATGCTCGTTCGATTGACTGCTTAGTGGTCATTTTATGCCTGAGATTACAAAGCAACATACGCTCTGATTCTCCATAATGAGAATAAACGCTTGCTATTTTCACTTCACATAAGCATTGCCAACAAACCAAGTCAATCGTTCTAGGGGAAAAGTCGTTTATTTTTCTCTATTAAAAGAAACTTTTGCACGTACGAACAAGTATTCTACAAAAAAGGAATTTCATATCACAAGGTGTCATTGTTTCTCAGACCTTACCCTTAACGTTAGGTAGCATAAAAGTATCTGAGTAAAGAAAGATAATAAGCGCAATGCCAATCATAATTACGCTTGTACCATAAATTGAATGATGAAATAAAATAGTTACATGTCAAAATGTTTACGATGCTTTTTTCAACAGAAAAAAATGGACTATAAATTTACACAAAAAAGAATATCTCAAAAATTGAGGGGGAATTGCGACCCCTCATTCCGAGAGCGTTGTCCTTAATTGATCCTCCAAATCTCCTAATTCGCTATGAATGAAATCACAACTAGCCTACAACTGACTGGTAAGTAAAATACTCAGTTTCAATGTGATAAAACGTGCTTATAATACCGTAGAAAAAAGGAGACACACGGTTACGAAAATTCATCTCAACAAAGTATACAAATCAAGTTCTACAGGTTGATTCTTGAAGGTAAAGACTAAATATAAGTGCATATATCACTATAGAATGTGATTATATGATGAAAACACATTTATCGAGCTTGATTAAACATTTGAAAAGATTAAATCTGTTTTCAAAGAAAAGATAGTGGAACTGCTCAAAATCTTTATCCAGCTACTAATTAGATTACGATTTCTCCCTTTATCATGCAATAGCTAGTACTGAAGAATGTTTACAATGAACTTTTAGAGAAAAGTGACTGACGGACTCAATTCGTATGTCAACAGTTATGCACCTTAGTTAGAATACTTGTCAATAGAAGAATGTGGATATTTGTATTTTTTCTAGAAAAAGATAACATCAGTTCATGTATCGTTAGTAGAGATCAGCAATTGATGTTGATTTTTATTATCCCTTTTTTAGACAACCAGCTTTTGTATGCATGCAGCTTTAAGTGATAAACGAATTGAATCCGAGAGGGTAAAGCAAAACGAATAGAATTGAAGCTGAAGTTGTCTCCTGGTTTCTTTAGGAACTACAATGATATCTCAGTTTCCTTTTTGGGTGCATTCTTTCATACAATAAAGTCTCCCTCCACTTGAATTCCGTTTTTTATGCAGCAACAGTTTTGTATTGTAAACATCCTACATTGCAAATGTTAGAGTCTTTTTAGCAAAGATTTTAAGCAGCTAATAGTAGGAAAAGACAAAAGATTGTTTTATAAGCTTCTGCAGAAAAATGCTCAATAAAGTTTGAGTTTCTGATAGATCAGCAAGATCAAGACGTAATGAAAATACGGCGCTTTTACGACTCCCTTTTTTTTTGGCTTGCTTTTTGGAATTCCTTGAATATTACCGACCTACTGGGCTTAAATCACTAGCTTGGACGTTAGGCATTATACAACTTTTTTGCATGCAATACCAAAGATGATGATGAACGCCGAATATGCAATTACTCATGAGAGTAATAGTAATTGTTACTTTGATAAAAATGAAGTTAGTTTCATATCATGCAACTGGTGTTCCAGAAAATAGTTGAAAAAACCGTGCCATTAGATGTGTGCGAAAGTTACCATAAAAGTACTGTAACGATCTCACAGACAATACTTTACATGAACTCTCAATAGTTCCTTCAATCTCTTTATAATAATCATTACTTAGTTGATCTCACACCTCGTGCTCATCGATCTCCAATCTCTACTTAAAGTAGATTAGACTTTGAAAAAAAAAAAGCTGCAATGTTGAAAAACTCAATTTTCTCCTGGAGCTGCTTCTACGATCGAAATCAGTCCTTAGTAATAGTTGAATAATTAAGCCACTTGTTTCCTTAATATTAAGTTAGGGTGCTCTTATATCGAAACCTTCTTTTTCTCAGAAGTGCAGCCATTAAAAAATGGTAAATATTTAATTTATGCCTGGGAGATGAAAGTAAGGGAGAATTATACTTAAGCAAGCGTGCTTATTTTCAAAGTAAAACTTAAAGTGTAGTATTACAAACTTAATGAGGTTTTGAAATGATTCAAAAAAGTCAACGAGTGCAAGACAAAACATTGTCAATAAAAATATGCAAGCAAGAATTTGCATTAAATGAAAACAATAAACTAAAATTGACAAAAATACTTGACAGAAAAGAATGCATTTACAATCCAAGATGTCACTGGAAATCAAAAAAATCACGCGATTTTGATTTATTCGTTTGTTTTGAAACGTCTCCCTTCTGAAATGCCCTATGTGTGTTGGCTTGTTCCCTTTTTTTTGACAGCCAATTAAAGAAGATAAAAAAATAGCGGTTTGATTTGTAAGGGGATTCAAAAGTAAAGGAATGAATTTCAGGGCAAGTATTTCCATATTAGTTTTGGCAAATGCACAATCTGAACTTATATTTATATAGAAGCTAAATGGAAAAACATTGTCTTTTCTTTATCTTTATCACTTCTATTATCATTTTTTCTTGCTTGCAAAGAAAAACAAACAAAAATAAACATATACACATATACACACACATACATATTCATACAAATCAATTAGACACCATGGATCTTCAACATCTTCTTTGTAACGCTACTACATCTGAGAGCTATCCATATAAACCCGAATTACAGTATGAAAAGCAAGAATTTGAATACTATCCTTCACCAGATCAATTATGGTCAAGCGCTTCTTCTATCTCCTCTGTATCTGAATCTTCTTCAGCTACTGTTGCTTCCTTGTCACCCATTTCATCTCCATCAATGGTTTCCCGCATCAATCACTCCACAAACAAGCATCATCAAACACGCACACCATGGACATCCTCCGAAGATTTTCTACTTGAAAAGGGCTATTTGCAAGGTTTATCTTGGGCAATGATCTCTGCAAAGTATTTACCTCATAGATCCCGTGGATGCTGTTGGGGCCGCTTCAAAACACTCCAAACAAAGTCTACCGACAAAAAGAACTGGTCAGAATACGAAGACCGCATTCTGTTAGAATCTATCAAGAAGCATGAAAGACTTTTCAAGCAAGCTTGGAGAGCAGTTTCACTTGATTTGAAAGAGAGAGACTGGAAAGAATGCGAACTCAGATCAACACGTATTTCTGGTTTGATGCTAGCTCAGCGAAAGCGTAGATCTCATGCTTAATCCCATCATTGTAAATAGCCACCACGAGTCAACTTATATATGCACATAATCGGTTTTTTCTTTTATCTTCCTTTTTACTATTTTGCATGCAATGTAAAGAAAAAACACTCTTTAATATCAATCAAAAAGCAAGTTGCTGTTTATGAAAAATCTAATTATCATTATTTATGTAATTGACATTTATTTTCGTTTATTTATTTATGCTCAAACACCTTTTGTATACATTCGTTTTAAAACAATATTGAATACAAAATGAAATTATACTTCTAAGTTAAAGTTTCCAAAACCTTAAGCAGCAATAATCATTATGCGGCTGTTTTCATTTTCATATAGCCATCAAACACTTCTATCATTTGCAATTTTATTGGTTTTCATCCCCTCCTTTTTAATTTAATCTATAATAAATAGCTTAGCTACATGTAGAGCCATTTTTCTAAAAGAAAAAAAAATCAGTGCAATCTTTTCTTTCAAACTGCATATAATTCCTCCTCATCTTAGTAGTTCCTAAGACTTGTCCTCCTATTTTGCAATTTAATAGAATGCCTTTTTTCATACGGAAAATAGTAAGCGCTTTATCACAGCTTAACTAAATCAAGTGAAGATAAAATATAACTTTAGTTTATTTTTTTTTTTAAATTTATATGAAAAATAAAAGGTTATCAACCTATGCATTTAAGCTCAGTAGTAATTTAAATTAAAGCAAGCAAGTATATACTCAAGGTTTTTCTGTATGAATACGATTGTTGTTGTTAATCTTATTGTATGAATTTCATGTTACTCATATTTTAGATTCTAGAGTTTGTTACCAAGTATAGACTTATTAAATTCAACATACATTAAATTGAAGTTATTCATTTAACTTTATGCATAGTTGTTTGGTTAAATATGTTTATAAAGACTTTTCTTTCCAATAAAAATTGGCTACTCATTGCTGGCCCAATCGAGATTATAGCTGTATCCATCGTAGTTTTAGCTATCTCACGCATGTATGTTGTTTTTGCCCCTTATTAATAATTGAAGAATGGCGCCATTTATCGAGGGGCATTTTCCTCACTCAACTTAACAAACCCTATCTTTTTCAGCAATTGTTATCCCTGAATCTAGAGAAAGCTATGTATACTGGAAACTATTATGGGGAACAGGAAGCTGTCTCAAGCAGCGCAGGCATCTTTCTTCCAATTAACAAGGCATGTCCTATTCTGGATCGCATCTAAGTGAGAATCTATTGAAAGAAAAAGGCACTATGTTACTTGAAGTACTATAAAAAAATTAGTTAAAAATCTTAACCTTGATTCTATGGTATTTAACTGCCTTTTTCGCTTTCTCTCAAACACATAAAAGCCTGTCATAGAGAAAAGCAGCGTGTATAGTAAAAATACTGAATAAAGGTATACCTATAAATTCTGTATTAATTTTCTGACTACTATAGCCCAACATTCAGTGTCCCTAGAATCTAAGAGAATGTTCCAAACAGAAACAATTGGATGCATGCGATTGCAACAACAACAAAAAAAAAGGGAAACTTATTTTGACTAATAAAATCTGCCACAAAGTTGCAAGAAGAAGAAGTGGAAATGAAAACAATGAACCTAAAGATAAATACATATGAATAGAACCAACCAAGAGACAATTAGCCTAAGCAAATGACCGTCGAAAAAGAGCCCAAATTTAGTGAGAGAATGGGTCGATTTCTAACTACTGAGTACACTAAGTGGTGATTTTAAAAGAGATAGGTAAAAAAGAACTACTGTCCTAGATAGAAATGCATATTAAGCTTAAAGCATTTAGAAAAAACGAACACATACACATGATTTTTCAAACAAACATAATGCTATTTTATGAGTTGATATGACATAATAATTCTTCAAGAGCTATAATCAAAACAATATTATGAATACGAGGAAAAAATAATCATCTTGCTGGTTTTTTTTATTGTTAAAAGTGTCTTTTCCAATTGCATTTAAGAGCAAAGGAAACTAGAGTAACTTAATATGTTGCTATTATCATACAGCATGTGCTTTCTTTCGTTCATTGTTTAGAAGCAGGAAGAGTTATGACTATACGGGATAGTTAATTGGGGGTGAATGGGTCTCGAAGCAAAAAAAAGGAATAGTACATTTAGCTCCCAATTTATCATTTGATACCGCGAACTACCGGAGAAGATACAATAAAAAGTAAATTCTTCAACACATTCCACCTTCTAATTCATTTCCGTATTCAGAAAAAGGGTTGATAGATATGCTAAATATATGGAAGATAGAAAAGAAAAAGCAAGTCTTTTTTATCTTTATGCTTAGAGCTTGAAAAGAAAAGTAAAATGCATACTATCTTTCTAACATAAATGGAAGATGTTCTTGACATTGGCCAGCAAAGTAATGTTATGCTGATATCTTTTCAAAGTGGCAAAGTGTTTCTTAATTGGTTCCATTCAGCGCATTTTCCCTGTTCTGTTTTCTCTCCCTCTCAAGCTTTTTTCTTCTTTCCCTCCTTTTGTTCCACTGTATGGATTTATTTTAGGAGAAGCTGATTGTGTAATCGATCGAGTTTTCATATGTATTATCTCTGTATGTAATCAACAATAGCCATAAGATTTATCTTTGCATAATATATTACCAGACATCACCCAAGATATAATAGTAATGAAAGGTTTTCTTAGAGAAGGAATAGAAGGAGATTTCATTTGTACGAGTTTGCAGTCAATGCAACCTGTTGACAGCTGCTGTAATTGGAACCACCAATCATGAATGATACTGGATTTAAAATTGTTTCCTCAGTCACGAATAGCATAATGCAAGAAATTCATTGCGCGTCCCTTTGTCGTTTTCTTTAGAATATGCCCTTATCTTCATATAAGCTCGAAACCACGCTTTCAGCACACTCTCAAGACGTAATAACTATAGCTAGTCTCCTTTATTATTTTGATCTTAACGCGTCTAAAAACAATAGGTTAAAGCAGTAGCCGCTGTTTCAAATGATATTGTCGTGTCTGCTTCTCGCGACAAGACAGTACGTTCTTGGACCCGTACAAGTGCCAATACCTTCTCACCCCAAAATGTCTACTTGGGACATGACCATTTTGTTAATGCGCTTACTATCTTGCAGCCTAACCCTTCTTTTCCAAATGGTAACTATATATTATGCATTTTATCTAATGGATTAATATCTTCATATAGGTCTCATTGTATCCAGTGGCTCAGACAAATTTATCAATGTCTATGATCCTAGCCATCCACAAGAACCACGCTATACACTTGTTGGACATACTGAGAATGTCAGTACTTTAACTACAACTCCTTCAGGCTATATCGTTTCTGGTTCTTGGGACAAGTAAGAAATTTTTGTATAATAATAGTAGTTGCTTATGTTTGTATGTATAGCAAAGCCATTGTATGGAAGGAATTTCAACAAGCTTATGTGCTTGAAGGCCATACAGCTGCCGTTTGGGCTATTCTTGCTATTGATGATAGCTTGATTTTGACAGGTAATTAGGATATAGCTTTCTGAAGACTAAGTAATGAAATAGCATCTGCTGATAAATCTATTCGTTTATGGAGAGATGGAAACTTGATTCATGTTTATCAGGGCCATACTGAAGCTGTGAGAGGACTTGCTGTAGTTCCTGGAATTGGATTTGTATCCTGTTCAAATGATGGGTAAGTTAGCGATGGATTTATTATCAAGTGTATTGATTCTTCTTACTTAGTACACTTCGAGTTTGGACTTTGGAAGGAGAATGCATTCAACAATTATACGGTCATACTTCATTTGTGTATTCAGTCAGCGTTCTTAGCACAGGAGAATTTGTTTCTTCTGGAGAAGATCGTACTGTTCGTATCTGGAAAGGTAAAAAAAATTATTTTGAAATAGTGGATAGCTTCTTAATATGTCATTAGATGGACAGTGCATTCAAACTCTTCAACAACCCTGTATCTCTGTTTGGACAGTTGATGTCTTACCAAACGATGACATTGTTGTAGGTGGAAGTGATGCTGCTGTACGTATTTATACCCGCGATGAAGAAAGAGTAGCATCTGCTGAAGCATTAAAAGTAAGTTGGAATTTATTTACTTTTTGCAGTATAAAAGAATAACCTTTTCTTGGTAGGAATTTGATGAATTATTAGCAAGCCAAGCTATCCCTTCGTAAGTGATTTGAAAAAATAGTTCAAATATAGATTGACTTTTTTCTTAAAAAAAGAAACCAAATTGGCGACATCAATAAAGATAAACTTCCAGGTCCTGAAGCATTACAAGCACCTGGTAACAAGGAAGGTCAAGTAATTATGGTGAATATGGGTGCTACAGTAGAAGCACATCAATGGAGTGCTCAAGCTCAAAGTTGGCAAAAAATTGGTGAAGTAGTAGGTGGTAACAATCGCTCAAAGCAAACATATGAAGGCAAAGAATATGATTATGTCTTTGATATTGATGTCGGCGCAGGTCCTAATGGAAACCTTAAGCTTCCGTACAATGTTACAGGTAATGTCTCTGACAATCAAAATACATGTATGCTTACACTGTCTTAGAAAACCCTTATGATACTGCACAGAAGTTTTTGATCAAACATGACCTTTCACAGTCTTTTTTGGACCAAGTAGCTGATTTTATTATGAAGAATGCCGAGGGAGTTAATCTTAGTAGCAATTATCAAGATCCTTTCACTGGTGGTAGTCGTTATACTCCTCAAACAAATCAACCTGCTTTAGGAGGTAATAACAATTTGGATCCTTTTACTGGAAGTGGATCATACCGTCCCTCAGCCTATAACACACCTCCTTCTGCAACAACTAATTCGTATATTGATCCTTTCACTGGCAGTGGATCTTACAGACCAGCTACGAGCACTGCTAATACCACCCCTACTCCACAACAAGGACCTAAGCTATTGCCAGTTGTAAGTGGACTGAAAATCTTGTTCTAACAGACCTAATGTATTCTTTTAGAGAGGCTATTTGACATTGAAACAAACTAGTCCTGATGCAGTATTAACAAAGATTCGTTCACTGAACAGTGAATTCCAAGATGACAGCAAGCTAACAGAAGCCGAATTGAACTCTTTGTCTTCCATTGTTTCTTTCCTCAAGGCTCCTACAGCTGAATTTGACAATGCAGACGGTTTGTCTGTTGTCATCAAAATGGCTTCGCAATGGCCTATCGATAAACGATTCCCTTCCTTGGATTTGATTCGATTAATTGCTCTTTATGCGCCTATTAAACTCTCAGAATTAACTCCTCAAAAGAGTGCTGTTCAATTCTTACAGCAAGTTGGCGGATTGATGCCTGATCAAAAAACCAGTGAGACTAATGCTATGTTGGCCTATCGTGGATTAGCCAATTTATTCCAACAAGAACAAGGTCGATCTTTTCTCTGGCAAGAACGTCAAATTATTTCTAATGTAATGAGTGTGGATGTTTCTGGTAACTACAAGAGCAAGAATGCTCGCTTGGCTCAGAGTACATTGGCAGTAAAGTAAAGTGTACCATTCTTCTTTTCATTCGTTGTCTAACCTAAATTATAGTTTTGCTATCTTGCTTTCAAATAAACAAGAAGGTGAAACTGAGCTTGGATTTACAGGCACATTAGTAGAACTGTTGAAAGATGAACAAGATGATGAAAATGTGTATCGATTCCTTATGGCATTAGGTACCTTAATCTCACAATCAAGTGCGTGTAAAGAAGTAGGCAATATTATGGATGTCAAAGCGCAAATCAGACGTATTCAATCAGAAAAGTCGGGACAAGAACGTATGCAAAAAGCTACTGCTGAAATTATTCAACTACTAGCATAGACGTCTATTTACACACATTTGTAGTGATTTATCATTAAAAAAAACAAAATATTGCAAAAGGAAAGGGAATAGCGAATGATATTGTCAAAGAGGGGGATATACAAGAAGAAGGATATGTATAATGGTACTTTTTTTTTCTTTCCATCAAGAATCTTGGATAAATCTCAGTCCATTGAGCACTTGGTCAAACCTATAAAAATGAGTATTGAGAATATCTTGCATAGCTTGTCTTACCTTGACATTCTAGCCTTTGCTTGATCAGATTCAAGTCGAACAAGGGCTGTCAAATCCTCCCAATCAGCCTTGAGATGGTCGTATTTTGCTTTCCATTCTTCTTTGAGCTTTATTTCTGACTCCAATAGTTCCTGAAATTCGTTATTGCATGCTTCGCTTTGTTGTTTGGCTAGTTCCTCATTCTCTTGACTAATTCGAAGTGCTTCTTTTAGCTGTTCAATTTCATCTTCTTGATTTGACAGACACTCTTCTTGTTCTCGGTTATTTAATTCTAAATAATTGATTTTCTCGTCCTGAGAACTAACTTGAGACTCTAAGTCACTTAGTTTTTCCAAGCTTTTTTCCACTTCAGTTTGTAAAGTTGTCAGTTTTGCTTCTAATGATTCCTTTTCGCTTTTCGTTTCAGCCAATTGATGCTCTAAATCTGCTACAGTCACTTTTGATTGGTCTAATTCATTGGAAAGTCTGTCATAAACCAATTTGGAGGTATCCACCTGGGTCTGTAACTGTTCAATTTCTTCTGTATGTGCATTGGCTGCTGTTTGGTATTGCTGAACTTTATCACGCAGCTCAAGCTCAAGTTCTTCAATGCGTTCTTCTAAAATAGCACATTTGTTAACCAAGTTCTCTTTGGACTCTTGTAATTCACGAATAATGGCTTGCTCTTCAATAATCAGTTCTTTGAAATCCAAGTGTTCACTTTCTAATTCTTGATTACGAGTAAGGATATCGTTCATCGTATCATTCTGTTCTTTCAGTTCTTTCTCCAAATGATTGATTTTCTGCTCTTTTTCACGAATCTGTGTATCCACACGGTAAGCATGATTCAAAGGTTTCAATTTAGCATAAATTTTCCACCAAGGCCATTCACGCAACGAAATATAGATACGGGCATTACGCTGCATCACACGTATAGCATCTGTTTGTCGAGAGAAACGAGTTTGGTGTTGACGTGTTAAAAGACCACGACACAGGGCTTGGAATTGTGTGATACAAGTACTGAGCTTACTATCTCTTTGTTCTTCCAGAGCTGCAAGTACTGTGGCCTTGAAGAAGATCTTGGTTGTACCAATTTGATACTTTTCATGTTCTAATGCCATTTGATCAACTAGCATTTGACAAGCAGTTCGACCATCGATAAAGAAGTTACGATCAAGTAATTCAGGGCACAAGACACCATATCGTTTACGAAATTCGTCAAAGGAGAGTCGGTTGGGGAATCCTTTACGGCAAATACGGATGCCTTCTAATACACCATTACAACGTAATTGATCCAAGACGAGCTTTGCTTGAATTTCTCCAGCATGTTTACGGTTATTGGGCAAGATACAACGAACGAAATGTGGATGAGTCATGTGCAATGTGTTCATTAGTGAGAGCAGTTGTTGTTTGTGACGCTGTCCTACTGTGCGAAATGACCCACTGCCTTTTTTCATTTTAAGCATAGAAGAAGATGAAAAGACACTATTAGTAGACGAAGCAGAACCTGGTCTATTGCTGTTGGGTTTTTCATCTTGATCAGATAAATAATCTTCAAACAAATGAGCAACATGCTTTTGACTTGAACGGGCTAAAAGACGAGTAATATCTTCATTTAAAGGATCCTTGTTCTTTTCAATCCAGCCATCAACAGAGTATTCAACATCGCCTGCATAGTGCTTAAGAATAAAACCATCCTTGAAACGTGTGCTTTTATATTTGGCATCTGGGTTATCTTTATCACAGAACTTGTTGAGTTTCTCTAAGAAACGTTGATCACTTCCTCTGGGTGCTACACATTCTTCTTCCAGACAAGACAGGATACCCACAGGCTAGAGAAAACAATAAGCGACGTGTTATGTAGGTCACAAAGTTACTCACATTCGTTTTTTCAATAAGATCAATGGTAGGTTGAAGATCCTTTCCAAAATCAATATAGTCCCAATCAATTTTTTCTTTTTGGTATTCTTCTTGTTCTAATTCAAACATGTTTTGGTTAAAGAATTGTTGAAGCTTTTCATTTGTGTAATTGATACAGAGTTGTTCAAAGCTATTGGACTAGATAGACAAAGAGTTAGATTGTACGATAAAAGCATAAACATACCTCAAAGATTTCGAATCCTGCAATATCAAGCACACCTATAAATCCCAGCTTGTCTTTTGATTTTTGTCCATCAATGGCCTTGTTGATACGTTCAACTAAATAAGCAAAATTGCGCTCATACAATGTTTTTGCTAAGGCATCCAAACTAGCAATCACTTGTGCAGGTGACTTTGCCTGTGTGACCCAATCGCGGCCTGCTTTAATACGAGGGGATAAAAGACCCTTTTTGAACTCTTCAGCTGAGACGCCGAGCAAATGGCAGACACGCTCCACAGCAGCAAAATCACGGATTTCAGCACGGTCACGGTAGTCATTCACAGAAATGTTGCCCAAGTGAAGAATGGAAGCAACAATTCTAAACAAATCAAGTTTTTCTTTTTCACTTAATCCCATAATGTCCAATGATTTCTATGATGGTGAGCGTCTATAAATATGCGTCTTTTAACTTACTGATAGACTTTGAAATTCTTTAGCATCATCTACACCTTCAATCTTCTTGTTGGATTGCTTGATAAAATTGTAGGCTTCAGCAGGACTGTCAAGCAACAATTGCTCTATCAAGCATTAATCTCCCTATCTCTTGTTATTGTCACTTTTCTTACTTTTTATGTCTTCTTCTGCCTCCAATAACTGGTAGAATATATGATAGTTTCTTTCTTTGGGTGATTGTTGGTGCACTCGAGATTTTTCAAGCAAATACCACTCAATATTAGCTCCACATATTTGTGCACGATTATTAAATTCAATACGAATAAATTTACCCTAGATTAAACATAAGCGTCTTGATCGTAACGGAAATTTTTTTTATCACTTACAAATCGAGACGAGTTGTTATTTCTAATTGTCTGTGCATTACCGAATGATTCAAGAATAGGATTTGCTTGTAAGATTTGACTTTGAAGCTTATTGATCTGTTGCATATTCTTTGTGGATGTTGTACTACTTGCCACAGCTGTGAGATACTGAATTACAAATTTGGTGTTTTCTGTTTTGCCAGCACCAGATTCACCACTAGAAACTATTAGTCTATTTGTCTGATATAAAGTTTAATTTCCTTACGTGATTAAGATAGACTGGTTCTCTTTGTCTTGTACCATATCATGGTAGGCTTGATCTGCTATGGCGTAAATATGCGGAGGTAGTTCACCACGTCTTTTGCCCTTATAAGACTGTATGTATTCTTCAGAGTAAACTGGAAGGTTTCTATAAGGATTTACAGCCACTAAAAAGAGCCCTGAGTAGGTCTACATAAGTGTAAGACTGTGGTTACTTTTGAATGATACATACATAAACATGACTTGCTTTATATCGAACAGTCAGGTTGTGAATGACGGAAGGTTCATTTAAATATGTAAGTTCTGCCATATCGTCTACCATGTCGAATTTAGGTGGATTCATAGGCTGGATCTTGGACTCATTTACAATAATAGTCTAATAAATAATATAAATCCTACTGCTCTACTCTAGATATACTTTACACCTCCATGTTCGTATTCTATTTCTACTTGTCCATTTTCTTGTTCTTGTACAATATGGCCTCTAACATAACCTTCGTGATCATCCTGTACCCAAACCCATTTCTTTTCATTAAATCTAGCTTGTGCAACAGCATCTAGCACATCATCTATTTTTGGTTTGATGAACGTTTTTGAGCCATAGCTATGTATAAATGATCCGCCTCCTGCATAGTCTAATGGTGTATCTAGTCTTTTAGTCTGAGGTGAAGCTACTGTTGTTATCATGAAAGAAATGAAAGAGAAAGAAAGAAAGAAACTAAGATAGAAAGGGAGGATCGGATTATAATGAACAGCATAAATGTGCCAAAATGGGGAGGTTTGTAAACATCCTATAAAAGGCAAATTCCAGTAAGCGGTTGGTGAAATGCATCTTGCTCCAGTTTGATTTACTCTTTTTCTTTATTGTTCTTTTATCACTACCTGAAACACTCTTGCTCCTTTCTTTTTAAGAGGCAATTTGCAATGGTTTTTTTTTTTGCTAGCAAATATAATGGTAAAATATCAACTGTTCATTGTCAGGTGCGCATGAATGAATCACTTTGAAAAGTCTAACAGGCTAACATTCTAGACTGCTTTAAAGCCTACTTTCAATGCGGCTATTTGAGGTATCATTGTAATGGAATATGCTATTCGAATCAATATATGTGTAATAAGTAACTGTCTTTGAATATCCATACGTGTGACTAGTTTCACGACCTTGTGCTTGAAAAACGCGTTTTGAAAAAATTCCATTTCTCTCTTTCGATATAATATGAGCTCAATAGAAAACAATAATAGCACTATCAGTAACAACGACGCCTTTTCAAACAAAAAACCCGAGGAGCACTCTGCCTCTCTAAAACAAATCCTTGCTAGATCTAAGCTAACAAATAATAAAATCCTTCCTCAAGAACTTCCTACTATTGAAAGAGGACTGAATCAGATTGAATCACAATCTCAAAAACTTTCTTTCAAGACTACAAGCTCAGATGAAGGTGTTGATGTTCGAGCGTAAATGCATTTTCTTGTACTTTGTTCATATACTGATATCAAATGATAGACATTATTTTTTGGCACAAGGAGGAGTGAACACGCATGTTTTAATGAAAGAATTGGGAACTATTCATTTAGGAGGACTTGAAGAACATAGACAACCTATTCAAGATACTGATATTGAGAAACATATTGAGCAACAAAGCACAGAGACTGTTATAAAGGTCATTGAAGATGGACGCCAAGAGGTAAGAAAATAAATAAATGATGTCCCAGTTTTCTTATCAGATCATTAGATTATGGACGAAACAAATCAATTGTTTGAAAAGGATTTGGACAGCTATTGGAGCACTTTATTGAACAACACATTAAAAGTAAATGCAGCTGAAAAGCGAACCTTTAACTTGTCCAAAACCAAGTTTGATCAAACCCGTGTGGTTCCTGCTGGACACGTTGGGTTTAGTAATTACTACAATAAATAAAGAAGCAAGTTTATTTAGGAAGAAATACTATAACAAAAGCTTTACTCTTATTTATTGGAACTTTGAGAGAAGTATCTTTGAGACACTTCGAGTCAATCATACTGTATATTATATATGTGTTTCTCAATAAATGTGCTATAGGCCATCATTTTCTCTGGAGAGAAATAGAAGATTTGAAAAAAGAATAATCGCACTTTTGTGGCAATCATGGCACATAGGCATATAAAACCGACATATACATTGTATTTTTGGTAGAACAAGACCTTTGCTACGTATTCTTGCGCCTCAAAATTAATCCATTGAATTTCTCTATTGATATCCCTATTTAGAAGAGGGGGCTTCGCACAGTGCGTCCAATTGGAAACTTTGGCCAGACTTTAGAGTTTCCTTTGGACATTTTTGTGAATTCATCTGATCACTTTAAACAACATTATATGGGTTATATGTACAACATAACCGTAGTCGTAGTCGTAGTCATTCCTTTTTTTTTTGTAATCAAAAGATGTCTAATAAAGGTATTGATTTCATTTGGTAAATGCACTGGCAACTAAATTTTGATCTTAATTTGTCTGTCATTGAACTGAAAACCTGGTCCAAATGTGTTGTTTAACGATCCCATAATTGTTATTGCATTGATTCTGACATAGTTGTCGCAATCTCTAATTAACTTGTCGGGCCTAGATACAATAGTGATGCGGGAGCCTCATTTTGTGTGTGTTTGGCTTTGGTGACGACCCCGTTTTGCTCTAGTTCTTTGAATTTATCGTCAACTTGTTTCTGAATGTTTGGATGATGATATCTTGGTGGGCTGTTATCCCCTATGCCAATTTAAAGTTTCATGAGATGAGTAACAGGAGGCTTTCAATTGTTGGTTGCAGCGAATTGTTGATATCAAAAGAGTCGATTTAAAGGGTTGCTTTAATATCAAAATTATATCTCAAAATTGAGTTATCCTTTTCTAACTATCAAACGTTCATATATTTGCAAGTTTCTGTCTTGTTATCATGTTGTCTTAATCGTCAAAAATGCAATTGTTTGTTATCATCGTAAATGATCATGAATAGTCATGATTCGTATCATATTCTTGTCCAAATAAAATAGTCGTATTTCTTGACGATAATACTTAACTTTAATGAGGTGTACAATGAGTCTCTTCTAGAACTCATCGCCCATTGTAAATGCGGGATAAATCATGCATATATTTGGAATTATTGTAGCATTTCTGGATTAGGTGAATAGTGACGTATAAATATTTCTGTATATGTAGTTCATTACGTGGTTTTTTTTCATTTCAAATTCGGTAATAATTTATATTCTCAGCACAGCGAAAAAGCGCGCCAGCAATATTACTAATTTAAAATGTATATTCAAAGGGAAGAAACCTCTACTTTGCTATCATAATATTAGCAATAGTAATAGGCGGTATACTTTTGATTATAACATATATGTCTGGTTGATACAGTTTACGAATTGTTGCACCAACTAAAGAAAACGGATAAACATCGGATATTGGTGACCAAACTCAAGCTATGGTTTTTCCGTTTGAAAGAAGGATATAAATATTTTTCTTTTTCTCTTTTAAATTCAATTATAACAAAAAAATATTAATAATGTCTCCTGAACGTGTCTTCATTGTTGGTGGTACTGGTAATATTGGTGAAAAGACAGTTCACGATCTTTTGGCCAACAATGTGCCTGTCACTTTATATGCTCGTAATCCCGAGAAAGTCAAATCAACTTTTACAGTCAAATCTGAACTTATCAGTATTGTTCAAGGCGACTACAATGATCTTTCTCCTCTTAAAAAAGGTGTTGAAGGCCATACGCGTCTCTTCTTATTAATTGCTGACTTTGGTGTCTTTGTCAAAACCAAGCAAACAATTGCTGAATACGCCTATGCTGCAGGTGTCAAACAAATCGTTGACATTTCTTCATTCACTGTCAACGGTGGCTGGAGAAGCTCATTCATCGGATCAAATCACTACCTTGCTGAAAGGGCCATATTTGAAATCCCTAACCGTGGTGCTTTTGTTGCTTTGCGTCCCGGTAAGTTTATGTCTAATTTGCATTCGATGGCTCGCATTGCCACTGAAGGTGTTCTTTACGACACTGATCCTGCAGACAAACCTCAAACATGGATTTCTACAAATGATATTGGCGCTGTTGCTGCTGTCATCTTGCAAGAAGATATTCAAAAGCATGGTGATAATACCTATACTTTAAACAGTGATATTGCAACTCCTGCTCAAGTTGCTGCTATTATTTCTCGTCTCCTTGGTCGTGAAATTCCTTTCAAGCAATTAAGCTCTGCTGAACATTACCATAAGCTGGTTGGACACCATGTACCTCATTCACTTGCTTTTGATCTTTGTGATAATCTTAAGAGTATTGAAGAAACAAGAGTTGGTGCAGCCGTTGAAGTCCTTACTGGTAGAAAGCCTGAAACTTTGGAAGAATACCTCACTGCTAACAAACATCTCATCAAATAAGCCCTTGTACATCTAATAAATTCTGTATTTTTATGCAAAACTTAGCTGAGATTGATTTATTCATGAATTTTTATGCTACAAGAGAGAGAGAGGTAAAAGCAAAGAAAAAAATCAGGATACATTGACCAATGAATACAGAGAGGGTCTAAAGTGCACAAAAATATAAAATAAGGTTCAATTCAAAAGCTTATCATTGAAACATTTATCAAGCACCTTCATACAGTCGCATGGATTTTGCTTTTATGGCACTCCTTACACGTATCCACACTGTCAGCTGTATTAACTGTTCTTCTTTTTGCAACCTTTTTATTTCTTTAACACAGTAGCTTTGTCTCCTTTTTTAACCTGAAGTTCTAACTTTATGGTTAAAGAATATTAGCTAAGCAATATGACAACGTACCATCATTAGCATCGCCTTCCTCGTAAAGTTTGCATTTAAAATAAGCCTTAGAGAAATGACCAGTTTTATTGCAGTCTTTACAAACATGAGTAGATGCAAAAAACCTCGGCCAAGAAAATGCTGCACGCTTGGTCGGAAGCATGAAAAGTCGATTCCAAGCGGTGGTTGATGCAAAAAGGTGGCCACACCAAATACTAGTTCTTATTTTTTTACTTTCTTTAATAGATAATCTAAACTTTTACTCTACGCAATTTCTAGTGTTCATTGTCTAGCTTCAAGGGACCCATTTAAGGATGAAAATCATGCAATTTTTCAGTCTTCAGACACAATTAAAAAAGTACGAAAGCGAGTTATGTGTGACCATATTATCGCCAATAGAAAAATGGCTGGGATTATTTTTATTTTGTTTTTTTTTCTCGATACACTACATCTAAGGGGGAGGAAATAAATAGTATGGAAGCCAGTATATTCTCACCAAGTCTTATCAAGGGCTTGACCGACAAAATATATGATAGACGAAAAGCTGCTGCCTTAGAAATCGAAAGGTAAATTCCTTATTGCAACTTGATATTCACTGCTCATAGACTTGTTCGCGAAAACGAAGATTCGAAAGAGCGGATCACTCAAATAGTTGACGCTTTAGTTCAAGAGTTTGTCTATTCAAATAATCCCTATGCACGCTATGGTGGTTTAATTGGTTTAGCAGCAACTTCGATTGCTCTTGGACAAGTAAGATATAAATTATTCACGCTTCATAAGCTTATTTAAAAGGGCGTTTCACAATACTTGGATAATATTGTCCCGCCCATTCTTTCATGCTTCAGTAATCAAGATCAAAAAGTGCGATACTATGCTTGTGAGAGTATGTACAATATTGCCAAAGTAGCCAAAGGCGAAGTTTTGAGGTATTTCAATAGTATCTTTGATGCTCTGTGTAAAGTAAGTGGAATGCTATACCTCGTCTTGATGTCTAACAAGCGATTAGCTCTCTGCAGACTCTGAAATCAGTGTGAAAAATGGTGCTGAATTACTGGATCGTCTGATTAAAGACATTGTGTCTGAACTATCGACCACCTATGTCTCGCCTTACAGTGAGCCTTATAATTCAGTAGAAGCAGGAGGAGAAGAACTTCCAACACCTTCTTCATTACCTCGAAACACAGCATTTTCTTTGCCTCGATTTATCCCTCTTCTCAGTCAACGTATTTATGTGCGAAATTCAGCTGCTAGACAATTCTTGGTCTCTTGGATGTGTGTCTTGGATTCCATTCCTGATCTTGAATTGATTTCCTTTTTACCAGAGTTTTTGGATGGTTTGATTCGATGCTTAAACGATGTGAGCGAAGATGTACGTGTGGCTACAAATGGATTACTGCATGATTTTTTGAATGAAATCAAAGAAGCTGCTGCTGCACGATCATTGCAACTTCAACGACAATCTGAACAGAAGAAAACTCAAATAGGATTACCAATTAAAGAGCAAGAGGATACAAAAGATGAAGAGCAGGAAGAAGATAAACAAGTAGAACAAGAAAACGAATCAACTTCTATAGATTCTGAAAACGACGGTCATGGTAAAGGCACTTATGTGCCTGGCCAAGGCGTTATTGTTCAATATGGTCGTATTGTTGACATTTTGGTACCTCATCTATCCTCTTCTGAAGAAGAAATCCAAAAGACTGCTTTGTTATGGATCAATGCGTTTATTGAGATAGCTAAAGATGTTGTGATCAAATCTACACCTGAAATTATCAAAGCAGTCTTGCCTACACTAGCACATCCAGTCTCAGGTATTCGTGTGATTGCACTCGAAACCAACCAGAGTCTTCAGAAACTTGTGCTGGAGACACCCATTCATACACCTGAACCAACAACCAGCAGGAGCGATCCATCAGGTGGCGTTCAACTACAGCAGAAAAAGACAAAATCCATGATGATGAACCAAATCGATAACAGTACAGATCCCTTTGATTATCAAGCAACTGTAGCCAATCTTCGACTTCAGTTCCTGAACCAGCACGAAGAGACTCGTGTTGCCAGTCTGGATTGGCTGTTGATGCTTCATAAAAAAGCACCTAACAAGATCTTGGCTTCAGATGATGGCACTTTTCCTGCCTTACTCAAGACATTGTCTGATTCATCTGAAGAAGTAGTTCGACGTGATTTGCAGCTATTAGCACAGATTTCATCTCATTCTGATCATGAATACTTTCGAAGTTTTATCATGTCTCTATTGTCTTTGTTTAGTACAGATCGACGTTTGTTGGAGACGCGTGGTAGTCTGATTATTCGCCAATTGTGTATGAGTCTTGATCCAGAGCGTATTTATTGTGCAATTGCAGACATACTCGAACAAGATGAAGACCTGGAATTTGCTAGCATCATGATTCAAAATCTGAATATCATCTTGATTACTTCTTCAGAATTATCAGATTTGAGAAAACGGTTAAGAAACTTGGAATTGAAAGACAATCAACGGTTGTTTAATACACTTTATCGGTCCTGGTGTCATAATGCGGTCGCTGCATTTTCACTTTGTCTATTGTCTCAAGTGTATGAGCATGCAGCCAATATGCTTCAAATATTGTAAGTCTCTTGATTGAATGATAGAATAATTTAAGTCGTACGTTAGTGCCGAATTAGAAATTACAGTGAATATGCTTATTCAAATAGACAAGCTTGTTCAATTGCTTGAATCGCCTGTATTTACATGTAAGTTTATGAACATAAGAAATATATAATCATATTGAATAGATCTTCGTCTTCAATTACTTGAACCTGAAAAATACCCGTACTTATTCAAATGTCTTTATGGTATTTTGATGCTATTGCCTCAATCTTCTGCATTTTCAACTCTTAGAAATCGATTGAACAGTGTATCTTCACTTGGATTTTTACATGTCTTACCCAAAAGGTATTTGTTTTGATGAGTATATACTTTCATCAACCTATTTTATAGTCCTGTCACTTCTTTAGCTACAACATCAACTGATAGAAAACAACTCAACAAGACTAAAGTGGAAGAAATCAGTACAATCAAATATCAAGAACTTTTAACCCATTTCAAATCGGTTCAATCCAGACACGAGAAACAAAGAAAGCAAGGTAAGAGTGCTAGAGAAAAGGAGCCACAGTTTAAAGTCAATACAGTGTTACAAAACACGTCTCGTACATCTAGCAATAACAGCAATACATCACGAACAAGAAGGCCTAGGTTGATGTATGGTGGAGAAGGTTCACCTAATCAAATGCTCAATAACGAAAACAGTAAGGGATTAGGTGTAAGTTCACTTGGTAATAATGCCATGGTTGGTGGTGGTGGCATTCGAAGTGGTATGGCAAGTTTAGGTCTTACTCCTTCAACACACCATTCAAACATTTCCAACAACAGTCATGATAGTTTAGCCAGCAATAATGCAGGTACAAGTCATCATGGTTCAAGCAGTAGCCATGCGGCATCCAGTGTAACTCAAGGAAGTACAGGAAATACAACAAGCACATCTCAAACGGGTAATTCAGGTCGATTAACAGCAGGAGCAAGAAGGAGTCGAAGAGTTTAGTAATAAAGAAAAAAGAATAATAGGGTATATATGGGTTATCTCAAAATAATGTGGTAGCTGTTGTTGTCTTGCTTTTGGTGATAGTTGAATTAATAACTGCTTGGTGTGAAGCGCGTTTAAACCTGTCTTGACAGACATTGTCATGAAAATGAGGCTGACTTAAGGAAAACGATTGAAGTTGATGTTCAAGTTCACTAACAAATAAAAAAGCATTAGATATTAGGGGGAGGAGGAAGCATATACTTACGTTGCTTTGAGCTGCCATTGGTTTCTTTCTTTTAATGTTGATTCAAATTTTCTTTTCCATTGAGTATCAGGTGTATCTTGTTGTCTATACATGTTTGCTAAATGATCAAGCTCAGAGTTAAATTTCTATCAATGCATTAGTTATTTGTATCATGATTCTCGAGTTCACTTACATCACACACGGTGCCTAATTCAGCTACAGAATCTTCAAGGTCAGCCTTGAGTAATTCAATTTCTTCTTCTTTCTACAATAGCGTAAGTAAATAATAACGATACTTTTTTTATAGTACCTTCTGTAACAAAGAGCTAAGAAATAATATCGTCTTGTTTTTTTCTTCCAGTTCTAGATAAACGCTGGCTTCACAAGATGTCTTGTTACTGCTAAAATTCTCATTGCTATAAAAGTTGCTTTCGCCATTGGTAGGTGTAGCAATTGGAATGATTAGATCAGACGTTGGTCGATTAGAAATTGCATTTTCAATCAGCTACAGAATAAGTTAATTCGTTCATATGAAATGTTACATACTCGATGATGCATAGGTGGCTGTTCAGTGGATGCAGAATAAGGAGTCAGTGGGCTATGATTAATGTTATTAAATGTTGATAGAGTAGAACTGCATCGACTATTAAGTGTAGAATAGCCACTTCCTGACTCAGTCATGGTAGGTGTTGGTTCATGCATACTCAGTGGTGACCTTGATCTACTGGTAAGCATACAATCAAGCTTCGTTAAATTGTTGTAATGAAAAGCAGATCCAAGTTCTTCAAATGTCTTTTTGGTAGCTGCAGACTATTATAAAATGATTAAACTAGAGCTTTTTCATTAGAACAACTACCTCAATATCAAAAGATGCTGTTCTTGTAGGATGAAAACTGGGCTATAGAAATAATAAGCTCATTATGTTGAAAATACGAGGGGCTTACACTATAGTTTCTTTTTTGATTAGATTCAGATGCAAATCGATGTAGAGAGGAATGAAACTGAGACAACAGTTTCTCATCCTTATTACTTGAACCAGGTGGTAATCTTGACTCATGGCTTCGTTGCGATTTCAGTGATCCACTATAAACTGAAGAAGAACGACTGGTTGCTTCTAGATTCAAGACATATTCACTGTATCCACTAGTACTTGCTCTTGCTTTTCCCAAATGTGAGTTTTGGCTTGGAGAAGATGTTGAAGAGACAGTAGATGATGTATGTGCCTTGTTCTTGGCCTCGCTTTGTTTTTGTTTATGTCCATGACTGGTCAATGCAAAGAAGTTTTTGAATGTCGATTTACTAGTCTTGCGTATCAAGTCTTGTTTGACCATGGAAAATCGACTATGGTGGCTACTTGCACCACTGCTATGGGTTGATGTGGGCGCGGGTTGCATCATTGTGTTACTTGCTGCCATTTGTGCTGATCGTAATAAATCCCGATCACAAGCAAGGACTATCATACCATGAGAATATGTTTGGAACGGAAGTTAACTTACGATTGCCAAACAGCTGATTTCGAGCCATCTGAGTGTCATTAGACGAGAAAGTCAGCAACGATATTTCATCATGGCTTGTGTTCCCCAGAGCACATTTGCTTCGAATGGCAAAACAGAAAGTGCCTTTTTCTTGTTGAGGTAAAATGAAGCCTACAATATTAGGTGCCATGAAACAATGGTTAAGAACAATCTCAATGTTAACATTGTTTTTCTCAATGTAAAATAAAGCAATGTCATTCTAAAGCACGTTAGTATTGAAACAATTTCTATTTTAGTGTTCTTGCCTTATTTGCTACTTGGTGATACTTATTTGTTGGATAAATGTTAGCAAAAAAATGATGATGATTCCACTGACAATACACTGACTCAATCAATTCATCTAATATATTATTAAGAAAAAGGGGTTTCTCTCTCTTTTTTTTTTTTTTTTTTTTTTTATACCATTTTGTCTTGCTTCGTTTTTTACTTTCCCAAACTGATAAATAAAATCAGATTTGATGTTGGCCAAGTTTTGGAAATAAGCTTTGTTACTAAGATTACCGCCACTTAAACTGAGTGAGAAACAATGTTTTTGTTGGTCATGCTGAAAATAGGCTTCCAAAGACTGTTGAGTCGCTTGATCCGTATCGGGTAAAGACAAGAGAGAGTCCGATGTATGGTTACACATGAGCGTCAATGTATTTAAGACATCTTAGAAGAAAAAAGAAAAAAAAATTAGTCTACAGATGCATGATATATATACATTCCTTACCTGTAGGATCATGATACAAATCAAGTTCAGTAACATGTATCCAGCCTATAAACTTAAGTCTTTCTGTATGAACAGAATTTCCAATACAAAATTCTTTTTGATCATTCGTAACTCGTTGATCCAAACCACATAGATCCAATCCATCCATATCATAAGAAGGTCTCTTTACCACAATTAACCTATCTGAGAATAAAAAAATCGTTACAGGCTGAAGAGGCTTTAAAGTAAGAGGATCAATCTCTGCAACATCCAAGTAACACACCATGCGTCGTTGAGAACTCATCAAAGATTCCTGCATGATATCAGAACCAACATATACATAAAATGAACTTACTGGACAGTATTGAATGGACCGAAGTAAAGATTGGAAGATTTTCATGAGCTGTGTATCAACTTCTTCTCGCATATTAGCAATTTCCTCGGCTCTTGCAAGCGAGGCACGTAAGCCAGGCAGATCAACATGGTCATCAGTCGTGTGCTTCATCAGTTCTATAGAATAAAAATGGATCAGAAATGCTAATATAGAGTAGTTTAGTACCTTTAAAATACATAGTATATCTTCCAATACGTTGGCTTGGTAATGCTAGGTAATCATAAACTGTTTGGTTTCCTTCATTTGCATTCTGTACCATGTCAGTATTTCTACATGTGTTTAGTTATACTTGCTTGTAAGAAGTGAACGTAATTTGGATTTTTCATTTGTTTCTCATTGATGATACGAGCATTATGGACACCCAATAAAAATCGATTATAGCACGTAAACCGAGACATCTATCAAATAAGTTAACTATACAGGTAACAGAAGAAACTTACGTGTGCGAGACACAAGTCACCTAAATTCTGTTTTTCAGGATCATAGTTGGCCAAGTCATGATAAAAATCCTTGGTGACTTGTATCAATTCGTCAATATTCATAAAAATATTGGCACATTCATATTGTCCAATAATACGATTTCTATCTTTGGATTTTTGTCGAAGAGGATCAACAATAAACTATCAAAATGTTTTGGTCTAATAAACGGGTCATCCAATGATTAGTTTTAATCAGTACAAAACTTACGGATTTAAATGTTTTGAGACTGTGTAGGTAGTTTGCTTCTGTCTGAATAAATTCATTGATAAGACCTTGTCTTCTCTCATTATTCTATATTCCTAGTGAGCTTTACTTGTTTGTGGTTATTTATTTACCTTGACAAATTCTCTTTTTTCAGGCAATGGATTATCATAATGATGAGAATGAGATGGAGAAGGTAAAGAATTAATGATTTTTTTAAATGTCTCTACTGTAGGGTTTTAAGTTTAAGGTACGATTGAAGTCTATAGCGTGTACCTGAGCTAGTATCACTTTCTGGCTCATGAACTAAAACATCATAATAGTGGCACTTTTCTTTTTTAGTATCTGTTATTGTAGTAACCAATATATCTTACCACAGATTCAAGTGAAGCTGGAAGGGGTTGCGAAAGATGAAAATTAAGTAGTTGCCGAGAGAAAATATAACCAATACTATCAAGAGTGATATCAAGCTGATGCATATAAGATAAAATAAAAGTAAGAGAAGCAAAAGAAAAAAGTGTCATTTGTTTATTAATTTTATTTCTTTTATTTGCCACACGCGTTACAAAACGCCATTTTGTATCTAAGACTGTCTGTCAATTTAATCAACTCCGAGTTCATTTTTGCGTCATGCGAGTTACACTCAAGATTCGATAAATCTGATTCTTGCGGTTCCGAAAGTTTGTTGTTTATTTGAAAAAGACCCTTAATAAAATAACGCAAGCCAGAATTTTTTGATACAAATTACGCATGTATGGCTTTTTATCTTTAGAAAACAAAATATATTAATATCAACAAAAAGAAAAAAGCGCATGATAAAAAAAAGAAAAGAATTGTATAGAAAGAAAGAAAAAAGAATGTGTTACATAACCCTGTCCCCCTTCTTGTTATGACAATGTCGGTTTCTCTCCGTGTTGTTTTTCTTTTTTATGATCAAGCATTATTACACTATTAAAAAAAAAATTCGTGTGGAAAAATAAAATATCAAATAACTAAAAATTAAATTCTAAAAATCAAACAGAGTAGGAGATACCTAAATAATATTTATATTGTTACTTACATTGGGCTATAAGGAAGAGCAGAGAATAGAAGGAAGATAAAAAAGAGATAAATCACTAATATATGTTAACCAGTATATGTAAAATACTTACACGGATATGAGGAGGTAGTTGAATAATCCTCAATTACATAATTGCTTCAACTCATTTTTTTTTTTTTGTAAAATAAATGTTATTTAAAACATGTGCTTTTTCAGTTACATATCACTGAAGGGTGTAACGTGGAAGTTCTAAAAAAAAAAGGAGTATATAGAGTCATTCAATGAAAGCCTTAAAGTTCGGTTATCGCCAAAGGATGTTGGTGTAGTGAGATCAATGTCTAATAATGTCAGATATGATCCACTCAGGGTTAAAAGGTTGCTTGTCAATGGTAAAACGCCAGTAAGCGCACCATATTCGCCATTGACAGACAAATAAGACCCTGAAAAGTCGTTTGTTGGGCTAAAGGAAGGAGGGGCAGGACTGGAGGCATAGTAGAGCATATATCGAGTCAGCGGAAAGGTACAGGCATGGGTAAAAGTAACTAAGGACCTCTATCCACATGACCCATTCTAAAGGACAGTATATGATGAAGTGCTCAAATGAGTCAGTACCAAAAGAACACAAGTTGTATTTGCTATCTCATACTCGGCTAGTAGTACACAGTTGTAATTCTGCGAGAACTTTCTTGTTGATCACTCGGAACCATAGAGTTCTTGAAAGCAATGGTATAGTGGAAGACTAGAATAGATTGAGCAATTTAGGCGGCAGATATAGTCGAGCATTGGATGTACCAACATATTTATGCACTTTATAAGCCTTTGAGGTGTACTGCTTCTATAGAGGAGAGTCGTGCAACTGGGCCACTAATGGCTTATCATTTTCTTCAACATTCACTTGCTCTACTTCATTATGGATGTAGGGTATCAAGATATATTGGAGCTATGCGCAATGTCGGATTAGTACATCATTGTACAGTGAGTAACATAGAAGTGGAAGCTTTGTGTACTCTATGCGTACTTGAAGACGGAGCCGGTGTGTGCTCCTATCGAACTTGAAAAAGATTGCTGCAGGTGCATCAGTATGACGATGAAGCCAGTGACCAGAAGGCAAGTCAAAGAACATCTTGATCAACAGGAAATGTAACAATGTTTGGATCGGCACTCGCTGTAGTTTCAGCCCCAAAATGGTCAAATGCTTGAAACATGACAGGAATGATAGAGAGCTGATGGCACATATCATGTTTTCGCAAGACCGGAGAAAAGAAAGGCAGGGAAGGAAAAGAGAAGTTGGTAGACATAAACAGCAGATGGTGATTCAAGGCTCTCTGCAGTAGTGTGTTACCCTGATCGCGATCAAAAAGAGCAAAAAGCCATTTAATCTAGAGCATTAAATGTTGGAGTGTAGGGTTTAGAAGACCAACGCCTCCCTGTAGACAGGAAAGACATAGTTGGTCGAAAGATATCTTGGGATATTTCTCTTGACAGACAAACTTGTATATCAATCGTTGTATTTGCTCTAAAAAGGCTTGCGTCGGGTGGAAAAGCCGCAGAAAGAACCATAGTTGGGACAGAATGAGAGTTTTCGCAATCATTGCACCTCCTTGCAGAGACAAATGTCGTTGTGAGAAAACGCAAAGCAACGTTTATACTTTGTCAAGTAACATATCCTGAACAAAATTCCTTTGCGTACTAGATCAGCAAGCCGTAAGTGAGAGTAGTTGAAGTCTCCAGAGATGATCAGTTGGTCTAAAGAGATGATATTTCTCAAGTCGTTCAGCATATTATGTAAATGATTGAAGAAAGTTTTGCGCTCTGAGCGGACAGAGGCAGGTGCATAAATGTTGAGTATATAAAATACTTCAAAGAAGTGTTGTAAATGCTCTACTTTGCAAAGCTGGAAGCGATCGGAAGATGAGGAGTGTGAAGTGTCAATGATGGATAGATTGAAATTAGGAGAAAGGCATACGATCCCCACATGGGGTGGGGGTCCAAAAGGATGTCGAGTGTTTCAATACGGGATTATGTATCCGCATAAGTCTCTTGGAAGCATATTATATCTAGTTCTAAAAGTTTGAAGTATCAAATATATTCTTTTTGTGTTTTAGGTTGATTTGTTTTCACTAAGCTGTTGGCGTTTAATGATGCATAATGTAATTGGAGTTCTTTAGTCATGAGGATATAGTGAGATATACTTATTGATGGCCTACAGAGGGGCCCATCGAATGTATACTTTTTTCTAATTGGGGCAATTGTTGATGGAGTTCAGCTAAAGTGTTTTGGTCAGCCTCGCTCAATATTTCTTCTGTAGACCTTCTTTGTATTTGGTGGATCTGCTGAACCAATGTCCGTTTGCGATCCATCTGCATAGGTAATAAATCTCTTAAGTTAATTATGGCGTCTCCCTTGACTCCATCTAACTCCATTGCCGACACATTTTCTTCTTGTTCAGATTCTTCTCTGTCACTACTTCTATCACTGTCACTATCTTGATCATCGTTTGGTACATAATCTGAACCTTCCTCGTCACTCTCGCCATCTTCAGACATATCATCATCGCTATCCTTTACTTTCATAATTGAGTTTGGACTTAAATTCTTCTTGGCTCCAGTCAAAGAAGCACGTTTGTCGTTTGGAGCATACTTAGACTTTGGTGCTTCTGTTGAAGAGGCCAGTTGATCCACTTTAGGAGTAGGTTGGGGCGTTTCCTGAGAAGTCTAATTCTTAGGTGCAGGGATCTTCAGCTTTTTCGAGGGACTGATGGGTGGTTTACGAGGACACTCGAAAGATCGGTGCCCAAGTAAATGGCAGTGATAACAGATAATTGGTGCCTTTGATTTCTCACACTCGAATTTCGTGTGGCCAGTCTGATGGCAATAACGGCACCAAGTAGACATGTTATTCCATGTAGCATGGAAAATTTCATCCTTTTCCTCCCGCCAACGAATGTTGTGGGCTAACTCCTGAAACTTGATTTGGTCTTCTCCTGATTGTCTGGGAGTACCAATGACAGCATAACCGGATCCCATAAAAAACCCAGTATTAGGCTTGGTTATAATGCCGACGTCAATAACTTGACCGAAAGGAGATAAACTGACCTTTAGGCCTTCCAGAACTTCAGGTCTGGGTATCCAACTGTCATCAGTGGCTTGGCACGGAATGATTCGCAGCTTAGATTCTTTGAATTCAACACCTTTTGTGTCAAGGTAATTGACATCATGTTGAAATTCAACATAAATCTCGAGATATCGAGTTGGACCATTGTTGAGAAAAGAACAAGCATGAACTTTAGGGCGTTGGACTTTGATCTCTTGCAGGCACTGAAGGTCTGTGTATTGAGCTTTGACCTTGGTTGTGTCAAGAAGAAAAGGATTCTTAGATCTGGATGATCTGTAAATCCTCGAATGTACTTCACTTAGTGAAGAAGAGTCTTCAGGGTGAGGTTAAGTAATGTCCTTGTGTATCAAGGGCGCTCGAGTCTTCGCAGCTACTACTTGAGCATACGATCATTGTTTGCTAGCATTTTTAGGCTCAGGAGCTGTTTCTAACTCTGTTGACCGAGAAAAGTGTTGGGAAAGAGCCATGCTTCAACTCATTACATTCATACTACTGCACAATATGACTAACTAATACAAAGATATGATTGATGCTAAAGGCTGTAACACCAAGTGCTGGTTTCTTTCTGTTTATGTTATCTTAAGATAATATCTCAACAAATCATCAACAAAGAACTGAGTGCGTTTATGCATCATCTTGGCATATTAAAGGGCTCTTGGATCATAATACCTTTGTTACTGAGTTCGAATGACAACAAACTGGACTAATTTTTATTCCGGATCAGTGTATAACACTCATAACTACGGTTAGTCATGGCTTAAAAAACACGCGATGATAACCAAATATTGTGTGCCAACTTCAATCAAGACTTTAGCTGTATTTCTGTAGACACTGCTAAAGGATATCGTTTCTATCATTGTGATCCATTTCAAAAGTTTTATTTCAAACGTATGTTTTGATGCGCAGCAACAATCTAATACCTATTCTTTGTAGTGGGTGAGGATGTGAAAATCTCTAAAATGTTGCTTTCTACTTCCCTTGTTGCTCTTGTAGGCTCTGACCATCAACGTACCTGCAAGAGTTTTGGGCTGATCAATACAAAAAGAGAAAACACAATATGTGAACTCAATTTCTACAGTCCTATCCTGACGGTCAAGACGAACAGAAAACGATTGGCTGTTGTCCTTAAGGATCAGCTCTTTGTGTATGATATCATTAACATGAAGTTGCTGCATACAATGGACATTATACCAGATCCATTGGGTACCCATAAAATATGATATTTACCCTCAACCCACGATTGGGTTAGCTGTTTTTACTCTATCTTCTTTGACAGAGTATCGTTGTTTAGCATGACAGCCATTACATCCTTCTAGTGAGTACACAACAAATGGCAGTGGAGATCTTGAGGTGTATAATACGAAAACCATGTCATTGGTCAATAAAGTACAGGCGCATAAGTTTCTTATTGTTTTTTTTTGCCACGAACGCAGAAGGAAGCAGCATTGTCATTGCCAGTGAAAAAGTAACATCCTCCTATCATAGACGCATGTCATTAATCTAAATCCATATGGATCAATGAACCATGTGTTTTCTATTCCGAATGCAACAAAGTACATCAATTAAAACAGGAATCTTATGTATCACGCCTCTATTCAATTTCATTTAGCCTTTTGATTAGTTCATCAGTGAGAAGAACAACTTTGTGCAAATCTTTGTATTTTCTTAGCATGTAAAGGTCACGCAAAGTCTGTTTATACCGGCATAGATGCTCTAAATACCTATAAACCATGCCTACTAAAATATATGATACAATTGGAGCTGATTTGGACCAAAAAAAAAAAGCGACTTGTAAAATTTGTCCAAAAACCACCTTTGGCCAAAGGGCATTATTCATGAAAATTGCTTGTTTGACAACTTCTGATCTTCTTTTGGCATTTCGTCAGTCAGTTCTCTCGTCCGTGTTTCCTCCATTGGCCTTGAGAACTATTGCAGAGGCACAGTGGAAATTCTTTTAGTCCCTGTCACTTACCTCTATTCAACATAATGTGACATACCGGTCTATCTTGGGGTGTATTCCTCATCGCAAGTTCTTGCATTTTATTGTACCTCAAGTGTTCAGTTCCTCTCTTTTCCCAGTTTGAATATCTTCAAAAGAATCAACCATCCACTTGTTATTCCACTGTCCAACTAAAGAGAAGGTATAGCAGGAAATAATTTTCGAGTTTCTATGGCCTACCACATCCATCTCTGATATCAAAGAGGCTCTTCTGTCCCTGGAATTCTCGTACATCTGGTAATGCCAATGGAAAGGAATCAAACCATACAGAATCCTCATAATTACTCTTTCACAAATCTGGCTTTCTCATACGAGATTTATCTTTGGCAAGGCCCCCATTGTATCCACAGCAAGTTAACACCAAATCAAACGGGTCACTGCTAAAACCAAGACTCAAATCAAAACAAGCTAAATCAGATCTATTCCTGACATACCAAACGCACCCACGTCTCTCTCTCTCTCTCTCTCTCTCTCTCTCTCTCTCTCTCTCTCTCTCTCTCTTTTAAACACCTTGGAGAACTAGCTTGAATAGACCAGCCAATCAGTAGGTGTACAAACGTAAGCTATTGTGCCTAATCTTTGATTGCACAACTCTCAATGCAGCCTTATATCTGAAAGGTA